CACACACCTGAACACAGTTACACACACACCTGAACACAGCTACACACACACCTGAACACAGTTACACACACACCTGAACACAGCTACACACGCACCTGAACACAGTTACACACACACCTGAACACAGCTACACACACACCTGAACACAGCTACACACACACCTGAACACAGTTACACACTCACCTGAACACAGTTACACACACACCTGAACACAGTTACACACACACCTGAACACAGTTACACACTCATCTGAACGCAGCTACATACATACCTGAACATAGTTACACACGCACCTGAACACGGGTAGAGATGGACTTACGTTTCACTCGAGGTGAAACTGACTGAACCTTCTGTAGTTGGGTGTTTGCTGGAAATAACACGTAAAACACCCTAGGGACTTCTTCAGTGGGGTGGACATGGGCAGCTGTCCCTGCCCTCGTGGCTCCTCACTGACAGTCCTGCTTCTGTGGTATGGCCAGGAGAACAAAGACTTCTGGGTGAGTCATTTGCCTCCTTGATGCAATACAATATCAAACCAAAGCAACTTAAGGAAAGGAGTTAATCGGCTCATAGTTCCAAGGAATAAAGCCCATCATGGCGGGGAGGTCATGGCATCAGGAGCAGGGGTGGACTAGTGGCCTTTCATCCACAGACAAGAAGCAGAAGGTGATGAGTGCTGGTACTCAGCCCAGCAGAAGATAGTGAGTGCTGGTACTCAGCCCAGCAGAAGATAGTGGATGCTGGTACTCAGTTCAGCAGAAGATAGTGCTGGTATTCAGCTCAGTAGAAGGTAATGAGTGCTGGTATTCAGCTCAGTAGAAGGTAATGAGTGCTGGTATTCAGCTCAGTAGAAGGTAATGAGTGCTGGTACTCAGCCCAGCAGAAGAGAGTGAGTGCTGGTACTCAGTTCAGCAAAAGGTAGTGAGTGCTGGTACTCAGTTCAGCAGAAGGTGATGAGTGCTGATACTCAGCTCACTTTATCCTTTTTATTCGGTCTAGTCTAGGGCAGCCAGCTCGGGGAACCCCATCTACATTTAGAGCAGATCTTCACACCTCAGTTAACAATGTAGATAGTCCCTTGAAGGGATTATCAGAAATCTGTTTCTTTGTTGGTCCTAACTCCCTTCAAGTTCACAATCAGCATTAATCAGGCTCTTCAAGTCACCTGAAGTTTACCTACCATGTTCATACCACATACCCAGTTACCAAGATTGAGGAAGAGGCTAAAAACCATGGCCTCCACCACAGCTTAAAGTTTGGTTAGTAAGGACTGAGGATGTGCCTCAGTGACAGAACTTCCTTAACTTTCACAAGGTCCTGAGTACACTTCCTGAGGGCACTAGAAGGAAACTGGCTATGGACCAAGAAGCCCTTGTGTAATGTATCTATAAACGTTAAGTCTAAACATAGATATTTAAGAGATCTGAGGTTACCTCACACCCCTGTGCACCAGCAGAAGAGACCTCTGCTTCTTCAGAGCCATCTGTTCACCTCAAGTTCTTATGGCCACACTTGTTCCGCTCCAGACAGACAGCCCTCTGCACACAGAGCATAGCTCCATATAAAAGAGCTGCATGACCAAAACCCATTCCACTGAGAAGTGAGGAGGCACTGCTACCCTGTTCCTTATATCTCATGGGAGAGAGGGAAGGGAGAGAAGGAGGGGAGAGGGGGGAGATGGAGAGATGAGGAAGAGAACAAGGGATGGAGAGCATACCCCATTGCTTGCCCACATGTGGCATTGCCTTCCTTGGTAGGATCCTTCCTGGAGAAGAGGAGCACCCAGCAGGCTTTTGTCTGCTGCTCTCTGATGACTGAAAAGCCATTGTGAAAATCTGAAGACTGCAGTGGATTGTATCAAGCCAGTGTAGTTCCACCAAATTCTAAATAAATGCCCTAGTTAAATGAAGTCATCGAATCCACAGGTGGAAACAAGCATGGTTTTGTTAAATCTGACACCCTCAACTGCAGCCTCTGAAGAGGGGTGGGCCTTCTCCTTCATTGACTTATCTGTCTGTTGAGTACCTGATGGTAAAGATGGCCACAAACACCCAGGAAACTGCCCAGTTCTTTCCTTGACACCTGCAGATGGATCTGTAATAGGAACCAGAAATAAGATTCTGTCTCTGATGGACCCATTGACTTGTTCCAATGTTCCTTTTGCTTATACTTGGTCACTTTTTTGGGAGATTTTAATTGAGAATAAGGCAAATTAGAAAATGCCATCTAATGAACAAATTTCAATATAACAATATTTTGTGTGTGTGTGTGTGTGTGTGTGTGTGTGTGTGTATGTGTGTGTGTGTGTGTGTGGTGTGCATACATGCTGTGCACACACATGAGTGGGATTGCGGGTTGTGCAAGTGTATGTCTGTATACAGAGACCTGAGCAGTATATCACTTGTCTTCCCATGTTGTTCTCCTACTTACTGTCTGAGTTAGGTCTCTCACTGAACCGAAAGCTGACTGCAGATGTCAGAGGGCTAGCCTGAACCAAAAGCTGACTGTAGATGTCAGAGGGCTAGCCTGAACCAAAAGCTGACTATAGATTTCAGAGGGCTAGCCTGAACCAAAAGCTGTCTGTAGATGTCAGAGGGCTAGCCTGAACTGAAAGCTGACTGTAGATGTCACATGGCTAGCAAGCTGTCAAGATCCCCTGATCTCTTCCCCTTAGTGCTGAGGTTATGGGCATAGGCAGCTGTGCCCAGTTTTTTATGTAAGTCCTGGAGGTTTGAACTCAGGTCCTTGTACTTGCACAGAAAACACTCTTATCCACAGAGCCATCTGCCCAGCTCAAGAAGAAAATATATTTTTGAAAGCCAGGCTTTTATGTATTCTCAACCCTCAAAGTTCTGAAGTAAAGGAAAATACAGAAAGAGCTATGGATTAAACTTAGAATGCTATAAGGGTTTTCAAATTTTTATTGTTGCATAACAACTAGTTGGAATCCAGAAGTGAGTCGTGGGTTGCCCTGCAGCCTTGCCGCATCCTCGCCTGTCTTTTCATGATGGTCACTGCTAGTGTCTTGATGTTTGCTGTGTGCTGAGGGAGAAATATGCAAAGAACTTGTCATGCATTAACTCATTTGTCTCATCTCCTCTCTGTTGCTCTCACAAATCCCATGACAAAGCAATTTAGTGGGGAAGTGATTGTTTTGGCTTATAGGTCACATTCTGTCATTGAGGGAAGCCAAGGCGGGAACTCAAGAGGAACATGAAGCAAGAAACCACGGGCACAGCTGAAGGTTGCTCACACAGGCTCGTGTTGGCTAGCTTTCCTGGAATCACTTGCCCAGAGAATGGTGTAGCTCGCAATGGGTTGGGCCCTCCCACATGATTAAAATTTTAGATGGTCCCACAGACGTGTCCACAGACTAATGTGGTCCAGTCAATTCCTCAATCAGGCTCTCCTTTCAAATGACTCTAGGCTGTGTCAAGCTGACAACTAAAGGTACCTAGGACCTTGGAGTAGTCCTGTAAGGTGGGCACTGTTACCTCTTCTGCATTATCAGGAACCAAAGTGACTCAGCCAATTACCCAGTTGAAGAGGGGAGAGGAAGAGCTCAGATCCCGACCCTCTGTAACTTTCTGGCCCCACTTTCACATATTCTTCTGCTGAAGCACGGCTCCTTCATGCCTGGGAGAAGCACAGATGGGCTCCAACGCGGTGTAAAACTTACCGGTTCTATATCTTTAGCAAGTGGCTTGGTTTGCTATACTTTTGTTGTTTGTTATCTAGTATGCTGGTTCATTTTTGTCATTTGACACAAGCAAGCGACTGTCATCTACAAAAGGGAATCTTACTGAGAAAATGTCTCCATCAGACCGGCCCATAGGAAAGTCTACGGGGCATTTTCTTGATTCATGAGAGATGTGGGAGGGCCTAGCTCACAGTGGGAGTGCCATCCCTGGGCATGTGGTCCTGTATAAGATGGATGAGCAAGCTATGGAGAGCAAGCCAGTAAGCAGCATTCCTCCATGGTCTCTGCTTTAGTTCCTGCTTCCAGGTTCCTGCCTTGTCCTCACTCCATGATGGAATATTTTATGGAAGTGTAAGCCAAATACATCCTGTCTTAGTTACTTTTCTGTTGCTGTGACAAAACACCATGACCAAGGCAACTTGTGAAAGAAAACATTTAATTTGGGGATCACGGTTCCAGAGGGTTAGAATCCATGACTAGCACAACAGAGATTATGGCAGCAGGCAGGCAGGCATGGCACAGGAGCAAAAACAGAGAGCTTCCTTCTGATCCATAAGCACAAGGCGGGGAACACCCTGAAAATGGCACGGACTTTTGAAACCTCAAAACCCAATCCCAGAGGTGCATCTCCTCCAACAAGGCCACACCTGCTAGTCCAAACAGTTCCACGAACTAGGAAACAAATATACAAATATTTGAACCTATGGGGGCCATTCTCATTCAAACCAGCACAGACCCTTCCCTTCCACGTTGGTTTTAGTCAGTGATTTGTCCTAACAGAAAAGCAAACTGGGACTTCCATAAAATGGTGTTAAAAAACTGGTATCAATAAGGATTTTGAGTGGGTTGAGGTTAAAGGCATTTTAATACATTAACACCTACACACAAAAACTAAAATATAATATTAAATGCACAGGAAGCATTCAATATCCAGAGCCCTGTAAAGAGAACAACTGGAGTGAGTCGGGAACTGTTCTGAGCACCTGTGAATGCAGACTCCACTCTGCTCCACGAGGAGTGTCTCGCTGATACCTGACTTCATCTTCTTGGCTCTGGCCCTTACTCAGCACTAAGCTCAGGTTCTGCACACATGGCTTTTCCTCTGTGACCTGTTCCCACTGATCTTTATTTGGTGCCCTCTGCTGACTTGAATGTATAGCTTGAATATCACTCCTAAAGATCCAGTTTGAACATCACTCCTACAGATCCTTCTGGACAATCCTTCTGGACAGACTGACATTTTTCCTATATACTGCATGAATATATATATATATATATCATGCACATATATGCTCTATACCATCATTTCCTCCCTAGCTTGAATTATTACTTGTCTGTGTCTGTTCTTGTGGATTACCTCTCCTCACTTGGATGTTTGCTCCATCCTTGATTACTGTGGTATGCCAGATTGGAAACCAGTGTCTGACACACAGACGTGGCTTAATCAGTATCTGTTAAATTCATGGATAATTATCTTACCCAGTGTCCTAGTTAGCATTAACTGACCACTTGATACAACCTATAATCACCTGAAAAAGGAGACTTGGTTACTCAAATACTGCTATTATCAGGTTAACCTGTCAGCACGTCCATTAGGGATTGTCCTGATTGATAACGGACGTAGGAGGGTCCAGCCCTCTATGGGCGGCACCATCCCTTAGCAGGTATGTGATTAGCTAAGCATGGTCCCGTGAGAGAGTCAGAGTGGTCCAGCAGTCAGCATTCCTCTAGGCTTTCCGCTTCAAGCTCCAGCTTGCGTCCTTTGCCTAATGACCCTTGATGACAGACTATGACCTCAAAGGTAAGCCAAATGAGTTCTTTTCTCCACAGTCTGCATTGGTCAGGGTGTTTTATCAAAGCAACAGGGTTCAAACTATAACACCCAGTGAAGTGTACAGTCTTGGCTCACCCTAGCCACTCTCTGTGGAGACAGTGCATACTTTCAGGGCTGCACCAGACAGGCTGTATTTGTCATTGTGTTCAACGTGATGAAATCTGCACTCAAAAAGTAGAGATGGAGGCCTGCGGCCTTTCCCCTCTTTTGATTCAGTCCAAAGCCCAGTGGTGAGCCAATGCCACCTCAACACTACAAAGGTAATCTCTCACAGGCATGCTCAGAGGCCAGCCTAATCTGCACAGCCCCTCACTCAGGCTGCTTTCCCTGGTCATTCTGGATCCTGTAAAACTGACAGGTGAAATTAACTATCATAGCATCAAGTAGGAAGGAGTCCTGGGTTTGGGCTCGTATCACACACTTCTACTGGAGAGCATGCCCTACACTTAGCAAATTGCATATCCTTCTATACACTTCAGTTCCCTTGTGGAATGACAGTATTAATGCCCACTGCATGGCATTGTTGGAATGATTAAATACCTTGATGAAATGATTAACTACAAGGAGGATGACGAACCTCTTGACATCACAACCTGATTCTCTCATCTACAAAGTTCGTGCTGGAGAGCCACGTAATCTAGCTACAACAACAATAACAACAACAAAAATCTCACAATGCTTTCAGTATGTTTACAATTTTGTGTTGGGTCAGTTTGACTCTTGGGGCCCAGGGCAGTCCATGGGTCAGACACACACACCTAATAGCACATGTAACAAGCAAGATAAAGGATGAAGGGAGCCGGTTTCCTCCTCCTGTGCATTCCCTCTGAAAACTAAATGATATCAAGTTCCTGTTTCCTCCAAAGTGGAACAGACAGCACAAAACTTAGCAAGCAGTAAACTCCAAACCTTCATTCTTACAAAGCGTGAATTAAGGTTAATTCAGTGTCTCCCACTCTATTTAAGTCGGTTCTCCCACCTCCTAGTTTGGAACAGAGTCCAAGTTGCATCTACGGAGCAGCCCAGCCAGTGCAGCAGTGGCCTCAGCGGGTAGAGAGAGTAGACGGCCGTTTCTAACACGGGAAATGTCTCCTAAGTTCTTTAGTAACTTCGTATCTCTGAATTCCAAAAGTGCCAGTAGAAAAACGAGACAATGTACTCCTATCCCGTTCTTCCCCTGGGTACCAGAATTCAATTAAAATCATGTTTCTTCTTGCCTGATCCAGAGTGTTTTGGGTGAAAGGAGACAGGAATGCAGGGACTCTGTACGGGAGAGATTCCCCTAGACCAGCAAGGTATCCGGCAAACAGAGGCGCTGGGCAAAGCCCATTTGATGGTGAAAGAGTCAGACAAGCAGATAACGAAGCAGGCAGCTTCACAAAGCCCTCCAACAAGTAGTCCTGCCCGGCTGGAGCCTGCAGGCTCTTCACAAAACAAAACAGTCCCATAGCCACGCAATCACAGACTCATGGCTTTCTCTCTTGAGCCACGAAACTCTCTACCTAGTCCTGGCAAAGCCCATTCTGGTATGTTACTATTCAAACATATTCAAAACCCATGGCAAGCTACCCCTTAAAAAGGCATTAGCGTGAGTGCCAAGGGAACACACTCCAAGACTGTAGAGGGACCGATAGGATTTCCTTGATTGTATCTTTTTATTTATGAGGCATAATTTATGAATGCCGGGGAGCAAACTGCACTGACTGATGACTAAGGAGTGCCAGAGCCATAAATCAGGAGCCATGTAGGAAGTGCGGACTGTGATCGAATCTATTGAATTAGCTGTTGGCCCAAGCCAATACAGGTATTGGAAAGACCCTTTTAATATCTATTTGTCTCCCTCGTGGGAGTGTGATAACAATCACATTCCATGCCCCTGGGAAACAAATAATTTAATTGTTTGCCTGTTAACATGCAGCCTATTTACTCCACTGATTAATGACTGGCATGCCTGCTCTATGTTGTATTTTTTTTAAATTTCTGATGTGAATTGTTAACACTGTATTTTCATTCTCTGGTTTTTATAAACAATGAGGTCTCTTTCTTACTGCTACATGAAATGAACTTGTCCTCAGAATCATCGAAATGCTTCTTAATCAAACATCCCACAAGGAACATTTTTAATCAGACACTACACAATGAAATGTGTGAGAGAATGTCACCAAAGTTAAGTGCATCCCATGCAAGCATGAGGTCATGAGTTCGAACCTAGATTCTAGTAAAAAATAAGCAAAAGTAGTAGCACATACTAATGATCCTAGTGCTGTTGAAACCACTAGGATTCCTGGGGCTCACTGGCCGGTCAAGGTCCAAGTGAGGGACCCTGTCTCAAGAAATAAGGTGGAGAGTAATCGGCAAAGACACCTGATGTTACCTTGGACTTGTACACACACGCACACATATTTGTGTTTGTTTCAAAGATTGTAGGTAGTGCTGATGACAAAACACACTCTAAACAGACATTTGTAGTCAGACTTTTATGTCGGGACCATTGCCTCCCAATAATGACACTGAGACTTCTTATTCATTATGAAAGCTCAGCTGCTAGCTTAGGCTTGTTTTTAGCTAGCTCTTATAACTTAAGTGAACCCATTTCTATTCATCTCTGTGCCACCCCAAGGCTTGTTTATCTCATCTATATACTGTCCACCCTGCTTTCCTGCTTCCTCTGTGTCTCTTTGCGGCTCTGCCCTTCTTTTCCCAGTGTCCTCTGTGCCTGGAAATCCTGCCTAGCTATTGGCTGCTCAGCTTTTTAGTACCAATCAGAGTGACACTTCTTCACAGTGTACAAATAGGTTATTCCACAACAGACACTCTATGAAGAGAAGTTGAAACATGATGTGCCTAGATTTCTGTTCCTGGTTCTATAGTATTTTGCAAAGAATATTGGATGCAAGAATCAGCTAGAAGCATGCTGAGAACCCATGTTCTGGGGTCATCTCACAGGAATGCTGGTGCAAGGACCCAAAATGATTCGGAAGACCCCAGTCCAGGAGCCCCTCCTGACACACTCCGCTCAAAGACAATCTCTGTTTCCAAAGAGTACTTACTGTTGCTACAGCTGTCCAGGTGTGGCAGCTTAGTGGCAGGTGTTCACACTTCATGTAATTAAAATTATTTAAGGAAAGATACAGTAATTAGTCTTTGAGGGAAATGAGTAAATTAAAGAACAGCTTTATATTTTTAATGGACAACAAACAAAAAGAGGATACCCATCAGTAGTTAGATTAAATACATATTGCACTGAAAACAGCAATGTGTATATATCTCAGTAATAAATCGAGCTGACATTCTTAATGTACTGATCGCTGCCAAGTACAGAATCCATGGTTAAACATTTCAGTTATTTTATAATTATTAAAAGTATTTGTAGTTTCATATTGTACTGTAACACTTTCCATTGTTACAACAGAAACATAAAAATCAAAACAAAACAACAACAACAAAAAAAAACTAACGTGATTCATCCTGACTTGCTTACCTTTTTAACAGTTCCCTACTGGGAAGTTCTAAACTGTAATGCATGGTGTTGTGTTAACTACATGCACACATGTAAAGTGTGATCAAATGTAAGTAAGGAGCCTTTTTAACCATCCTTAATTTGTTTATTGGGCAAGTATGTTTAGGAGATGCCCTGGGTGTACAGCCTCTTTCCCCTCTCTTGGTCATAGAATTTATAGTAGGTAACTCCATGTCTGTTCAGAAGGTACTTGCTTTCTGGTTTTTATATTGATCTGTTAAAACTCAAAGGCCAGGGAGCTGGAGAATGCAGTTCTGTAGTGGAATGCCTACCTAGCATACACGAGGTCCTAAATTCGTCTCCTAGGATGAAAAGCAAAAATCACACTAATACACTATTCGACATATCCTGTCCATATTTTCTCCATCTTCCCTTGTCCATGTTAACGAGCTTCCTGCCACTGCAACAAATGCTTGAGGTAACTTAAGGAGGGGATATTTCCTTTGGCTGTTTCAGAGGTCGCAGGCCATGGCCACTGAGTTCCATTGTTTCTGGGCCTGTGGGAAAACACAGCATCGTGGTGAGGAGGCCACAGTGCAAGCAAGCTGCTCACCTCGTGACAGCCCCAACTAAGAGAGGGAGTGGCAGGGGCCAGGACAAAATAGACCCTCACTGACATGCCCCAGTGACCACTTTCTTCTGGCTAGGTCTCACCTCCAAAACTTTCCAATATCCCATTAAGTTCCAAATCCCTAAGTGAGTTGATCCAGTCACTTCCCAAAGCTGCCACCTGTGAGGATGGGTGTGTTGGAGCCAAGCCTTCAACAGGTGAACTTATGGTCACTTCTGGACACTTAATCCAAGCCATAATGCCACCCTGTCAAATGTTACCAAATTTGGTAATGGTTTCTGAAAAGAAACCATAGACATAATCTGGGTTAATATTTTAATTATGAACCCAGAACATACTTCAGTCCATGCCTTGTTTAGCTGGGCACAGATAAAAATGATAATGAATTTTTGATATAGACTTTTTTTTCTTTACAGGGAGTGGGCATGGAAGGGGGAAGGGGGGCAGAGCACAGAGACTGAGAAAAGCCACCATCACAGAGTCTCTGTCTTCTTCTTCTTCCGGTCTTTGGTATGACACACATAGGTACTATTCCTGCCTGTGAGACCCACCATGCTTCAGCATCTGTCAGCTTTCTCCTCACTGTAACCATTTTCATTTTCACTGTAGCTCATGTAAATAGGCTGATCCTGCTTTGCATAAGCATGTTGATTTATATGAATGCTATTTTGATCTCAAATTGATTGAATACTAAAAAGGAAGTCTAGGGGAAAAAGAGCAAAGTGGATGAAGGTCTCTTGTCAAAGACAAGAGAGAATACTAGGTCCTACGTACATTCCCTGCTAGGACAAGGATTTTATATCATCTATATTTTAGAAGATAATATTCCCAAATACACTAAAGCCTATACACTGAGGCCCACTTGTTTTCAAATACAATGGACTGAGCACTGGAAAGACAACCTGAGTTTGGCTCCCAGCATCCACACGGGAAGCTCATGGCTCTGACTCCAGCTCCAGGGCAGGTGGTGCCCTCTTCTGGCCTCCTCAGGAAGCTGCAGTCATGTGCACATATCTACACACTGACAAATAGACATGCACAATTAAAAATAATAAAATTATTAGATTATATCGCATTTTATGAATAAGACTGCACCTGATCAAATGCAGGAAGACATGAAGACCAACTCTAACTCCAGGAGTAGCCTCACAATCCCATGCTGCATTGACATGGAACATGATGAGCCACTTCTGGTCACATACTCAAAGGACTCTGAGCCAATAAATATCCACAGAGTTACTTTCACAGCCAGGATTCCTGCTGTACTGCTCACAGTAGCCCGTGTATGGAATTAGCCTGGATTTCCATCAATAGATAAATGGACAAAGAAAATGGGGTCCATATACACTGGAATGTTATTCAGCTGTAAAGAGGAAAGAAACTGAGATGTCTGCAGGAAAATGGACATAGTGGAACATCATTGTGTTAAGCAAAATGAGTTGGGCTCAGAAAGGCAAATAGTGCATGTTGTCCTCATATGTGGAATCTAGACTTTGGGTGTGTGTGTGTGTATGTATGAGTATACATGTGTGTACGTGTGTTTACATGTGTGTACTTGTAGAAACAGGGAAGTAGAATAAGGACCTTAATCGGGGACAAAGAGATCCTAGAGAACTATGGGAGGGAGAACAAGGGAGTGATGGAGTAGTGTGAGATGGAGGGAGTCAGGAGCCCAGCAAGAGGAAAGGAGGGCACGAAGGGCAGTGGGTGGAAAGGCACAGATCAAAACAAAAAGTAATAACATATAGGTATGCAAATGCCATAATGAAGCTCACTTGTGTTTTCACTTTAAAATTTAATACTAAATAAAGAGAAGCAAATGTTCTCAGCCCTGGGATGGACTGTCCCCTGTACTTCCTTTAAGGACCTCCCTTTAGTGCATCTCTCTACAGCTCCCCACCTTCGTGGCAGCTGTCTGAAGAGGCACTCAGTACTTATTTGCTGGATTTCTCTGATATCAAACCACCTTCCACAGACTTCCTTCTTGTGACCCTGATTAATATCAGCATGCCTGTAAATTGCCAAGAGCCGGTTCCTGGCAGGGAATCTGATACTGACCTTTGTACTCTATTTTACATCTTTCCTAGAATATTGTCTTTTCAAATCTTGTCACTGTGAAAGTCCCCTCCATTCCATCCCTGGAAGTTTTCAGTTAAAGTGGCTTGTCTCCAGGTCCCTGAGCCAGGCACCCTCCCTCTTGGGACTCGACATCTGATCTCTTCATCAATAACCTAGTATTTTACCCCCTGTAAGACTGACCTTGGCCTCTCCAGAGGGCACAAGTGCAGCTTGGGTGGTACTCCGATGTGGACACTAGCTTGCAGACAGCCCGATATCATGGAGACAGTCTCCTGTTCCTCACTCCCCAGTCCATCACAGGGAACCTGCTCAGCTGAGACAATTCACTCAACATGTCTTCCACCCTTGCACATTAAGGAACCTGACCTAATCTCAACCTTCAGACCCTTGGTATCTTATTTACACATAACCACAACCTACAGAACCCAAAGCTTGACTTATCAGAAAGAGTACAATTTTAGCCCTCACCTACAAAACCATACGTGGTACACACATATACACAACATAAAATATTGTAAAGTGCTTTGAGAAAAAAAAACAGTTTGTAAAAAATGTGAGTGACTATATGCAAATCAGGAGAGACAGCACACTCTTTAAAGAGCTGGTTCCACCGGGAAGCAGGTTGGCTTTCTCTTTTGAAAAGGGAGCTGCTGGCAACCCTATTGGCAAGGGGCTGGAGATTTACATTTGACAGCAGCTCAACCTCAGAAGTTTGCTCTCACAAAGGCATCTGCCCCCAAAGAAACACAAACACGGATAGGATTTGGCCTCGCTGTTAAAAGTCTGCCTAGGTGTTTCTTCTCCAGAAGGTGTACTGATGTAAGAACAAACAGGACGGAACTCTCACTTCAGAGTGTCCCAGCTCTTTTCCAACATAGCTTGTTTTTAAACATTCAGCCCTGCCTCGCGATACTGCACACCTGGAGAGAGTCCATACAAACTCAAGCAAGCTTCCACACTTGTCTTTAAAGGCCCTGGAAATTTATTTTTTAATGAACAGTAAAAGATAACCAGTGAGAAAAAAATTTCCCCAAAGTTGCAGTTGCACCTGAGAGCTGAGTGAGGAAGACCACGTGGAGGAGACAGTCTTCTTGCGTTGCCATTGCCATCTATCATTCTGATTGATCACTGTGTGCTTGGCTGTTATTGGGCCTAATTTAACCCTATATGCTCGCACATCCATCCACCTGGTCTATTGTACCTGACATTCTACAAATTACTTACTCATGCAAATGGCGACCCAAGGCGACCTTTTAGGATATTCGTGTTTAATTATACAAATGGTTCTTGATAAATAAGATTATACATCTCCCCATATGTTTATCCCCTCCTTGATGAAAGGAAATTTGATTTTCATGCAGATTTAATGGAGACAGTGTTTAAGAATTGCTGAGTTTTATGGAGTCTGGGGATCCATCCAGTCTGAAGGACCTGATGAAGAAACCACTCCGCTGCCCCACAGGGGCAGAGGGGAGCATTTCAGCCAGCTGCAGTCTACCTGCGCTCCCTCCCTTCTTGTCCTGTGATCCTTCACAATTCCAAACTTGAAAGATGAAAATTCATCTTATTCTATTGTCTTTGGCTGGTTTGGTAGCTGATTTATTTATCTATTTTTACTTTTTATTGAGACACTCTAGCCCTGGTTGGTCTGGAACTCGCTCTGTAGACCAGACTGGCCTTGAACTCACAGAGATCTACCTGCCTCTGATTCCCAGGTGCTGGGATTAAAGGTGTGCACTTCTAAGCCCACGCCTGATATTCTTTTCCAGTGTGAGGGTACCTTGGTTTTGATTGGTCTTGTTGATTTTTTTTTTGAAGGTATGGGCAGTGAATTCTGCAGGAAAAGCCCCAAGTAACTGGACTTGGTGTAGAACTGGACCAGCCCCACCAGAAGGTCTCAAAGCGCCCACATTTCACACTGTCTCCTCCACCCAAGCGGTGGTCAACATCAGCACACCCGAGAGACCCAATGGGAACATCAGCCTCTACCGGCTGTTCTCCAACTCCAGCAGGACCCATGTTGTGGTGAGCACACAGTGCAAAGAGCTGACACTCAGCGGGGCTCTCCCTAAAAGCCACCGCCTCTGTGCTCTGGCTCTACCCTCCTGCATCCTCTCTTGTCCGTATACTCTCATTGCCCTATGGTCAACAGAAGGTCCTTCTGAGAGACTGAGCTTTTAGGAAACAGAAAACATCTGAACTGGGACAAGTGCTAGGGGTGGTACTGAAGATTCCAGAGACGTGAGAAACCGAAGTCTTTACACATATGCAAATTAATTTAATTTAGAAAAATAGAGGCCAGCTACTTGAAGAATCGTGGCATGTTACATGATGAGGTTAGTGGAGTAAATGTTAATATGAAAAAGAAAAGATGAAGCAAAGAATGTTCCAGAAACCCCAGTCTTGACACACACAGATCTCTAACAAAAGGAAAATCCAGTCTCCGTTGGTGAAGGTGAATTCAAGAAAGTTTCACCTGCTCAGAAGAGGCAGAACCACTGGGCACAGCTGTCTCCACAGCTGTGGTTAACACATTTGAGGAAAGTCAGGGGATAGACAAGAGCATGGAGGGATCTTATTATAGCGGGTTGTAACCATGCCTGTTGAGAGGGAAGCCATGCCAGAAACAAAGAAAGAACGGCATTAGTGTTGTAATTTGGAACACAGCAATAAGGCCAAAGTAGCTTGGCAAGGCGATTGCTTTTGTAAAAAGGGGGCACCAAGACCCAAACCCAGCTAGAAAGCACAATGGGACACGGACAGGGAGTTTATTTGGTGTTTATTTTAATACGGTGGTGGCTGTGTCTTTCCCCATTGGCTGGAGTCTGACCTTAGAGTGTTTTGAGATGCTAGTTTTAAAGGAAATGAAAGGGAACTAGAAAGGATATGCTCCTTAAGTCCCTGAAATTCACAGAATGGGGCAGGGGTAGTAAAAGAAAGTTTTTCTGGGTGGGGGACATTAAAATACTTACATAAAGGTTTTACAACATAAGGAAGATACAAATATTTTAATTCCCTGTCATAAATAGAAAATTGCTGCCGGGCGGTGGTGGCGCACGCCTTTAATCCCAGCACTCGGGAGGCAGAGCCAGGCGGATCTCTGTGAGTTCGAGGCCAGCCTGGGCTACCAAGTGAGTTCCAGGAGAGGCGCAAAGCTACACAGAGAAACCCTGTCTCGAAAAACCAAAAAAAGAAAAAGAAAATTGTCAGCATTTGACAGAACAGACGAATATGTAATGTTCCTTACAGCTAGGAACCACTGCTAAGCTGTCACCTACACTGTGCAGGTGACAGACTGAGAGCCACCTCGTCTCTACTTTCTTGTCTCTTGCCTCTGTGGCATGGCTTGGGTCTCTCCTTGTGGCTCATGAGTAGGTGGAGATTTTGTTCACATAAGCTTATAGAGAGATTGTGCAGATCCCAGTATTATATTATGAATTATTTAGACCAATTTAGGGAACGATTTGGGCAAGTGTGGAGAAATCCTCTGAGGCCAGCATACCCAGTGTTGAAACACAATTCCCAAAGAAGACTCACATGCAGGCAAGGCTCCTAGTGAATGCTAAAGGAATATTAGCATATTTTCTACAGGGCTTCGTATTCAATAAATATAGATGATGTAAATACAATCAGCCCTTGATTATCCATGCTTATAAAATGATAATATTAATAAACCCAAATAATTTCTATTTGGAGTGCAATGTATGCATTTTAAAAAATAACAGGTAGCTCCTTAATTGTGTTACTTAGGTCTATGTGGAAAAGAATTTCTACTTCTAACGTGTCTTTTCCAAATGGCGTCCAAAGTTTGCTCCACAGAAATCAGGAGTTTGTAGTCCTACAGAGACAAGTGGCTTTGCAATAACAGCCCTCCCCGAGGCAGGGATGCTGTAAGCAAACATGTTTGCACCCGCCCCTGACATGGGTTCCAGGGCAGTTTAGAAGCATAAGTTCCATGCAAGTTATTGCAGCAGAATGTGAAATTTAGTGGTTAAAAACCTAATTCAAATATGGATTATGATTTTTTTGGTTCATTGTGTTGCAAAGGAATCTTTCTGAAAGTCATTGAATTCAGCCCATATTTTGTGTATCTGGTTCCATTTTCTAGTACCTTCCTAAGGTTAGGGAAGAGAGATTCTAACTTGTTGCCTCTTTCCTGTTGCATCTAACTTTTACCAGACTCTTATATTGTAAACACCTCTCCAAGGGGATTGGCCATTCTAAGAGTTACCACTCTGCTGAGTGCCTCATGGCTTCTCCCAGAGTACCTGGTGTGGAGTTCCTTTCAGAGAAGGAGGCACACCATCTCTGACCTGTGACACTGTCTCATTCGCTCCTCTCTCCTGCAGCTGTCTGAAGGCATGGCCACTCAGCAGACCCTTCATGACCTGAGACCCTTCACCACCTATGCCATCGGGGTTGAGGCCTGCACCTGTTTCAACTGCTGCAGCAGAGGGCCAACAGCCGAGCTGAGGACCCACCCTGCCCCACCCTCAGGGCTGTCTCCACCTCAGGTCCAGACACTGAGCTCAAGGATGGCCTCCTTCCAGTGGACACCCCCTCGGCTCCCTAATGGTGTCATTCACAGGTCAGTGGAACAGATGAGTGAGCCAAAAGAGACATGGTACAGAGGCATGTGACCAGCAAGCAGTCCCCAAATGCTTACAAAATAGATGCATGCAGAACAAAATATCCATTTGAGCAGTTGTGTTACTTGAAAAGTGTTTGAGCTGTAAAACCAGCTGGGAGCAAAGTGAGCAATGAAAGCGTCTTGAAGCAAGAGAGACAATGCATTGTGTTTGCACTCACTAAAAGGAGACCCTCCCCTGGGAGTTCTCTGGAACCATGGGCTCTACTGACCTCAGCTGGAGCAAGAGAGACTTCTGTAGTTAGCTGGGAATTGCCCTGACCTAAGTTAAAATGTCAGGAGGGCCAGTATCTCAAAGAACAATCTTCATTCAGAGTAATCTGAGGGAAAGGGGATTTCCTTTATTCTTCATCAAAGGAAATGACTACTCATGAGCTGGAGAAATGACTCAATTGGTAGAATGCTTGCCATGCACGTATGAGACCCTGTGTTTGATCCCCAGAACCCACATAGAAACCCACACACTTAGATACTCCAGTGCTAAGGTGGCAGAGGTAAATAGAGCCCTGGGGCTCCCTGGACAGTCAACCTAATCTCCTTGGCAACTCCAGGCCAAGGAGAGAACCTGTCTCAAAAAATTAAGGTAGAGAAGGGGCTGGAGGAGATGGCTCAGCAGTTAAGAGCACTGGCTACTCTCTGAAGACCTGGGTTCAATTCCCAACACCCACATGACAGCTCACAATCATTTGTAACTCGTTTCCATGGTTTTTACGCCCTCTTCTGGCCTCTGCAGGCACTACATGCATATGGTGTACAGGTATACATGCAGACGTAACACCCATACACATAAAAAATAAAGCTAAATCCTCTGGTCTGCACACAGATGTGTCCACACCTGCATGTGCATATATACCACACACCCACACTCAGACTGCCTTCTGGGTAGCTATCCACACCTGTACATGAGGCAACTCCACTAATCTTCTACGTAACTTCACTTTTGATTCCCTGCAGTATCAATGCAGGGTCTCTGAAAGCGGTTTCCTGAAATGGAATTTTTAAAGAGTTTGCAAAATGTATTCTCCCCAAAATATAAGCAACTTTGAAAAGTGACAGAGTTCGAGGCCAGCCTGGTCTATAGAACAAGTTCCAGGACAGGCTCCAAAGTTACACAGCAAAACTCTGTTTTGAAAAATCAAACTAAATCGAGAAAAAAGAAAAGAAAAGTGAAGGATAAACAGATCCACTGCCTGTCCTCTTTCCCCACTGCCTGTTCCAGCTATGAACTACAGCTGCACCGGCCTTGTCCTCCTGATTCGGCCCCACCCTGCCATCCCAGCCACACAGAGACCAAGTATCGGGGCCCTGGGCACAGAGCCAGCCTGGTGGGGCTGCAGCCTTACACTACCTACAGGGTGCAAGTGGTAGTCCACAACGAGGCAGGCAGCACGGCTTCTGGGTGGACCAGCTTCAGCACCAAGAAGGAAAGTGAGTACTCATGGGTGATGGTCCACAGCGAGGCGGGCAGCACAGCTTCAGCACCAAGAAGGAAAGTGAGTACTCATGGGTGGTGGTCCACAGCGAGGCGGGCAGCACAGCTTCTGGGTGGACCAGCTTCAGCACCAAGAAGGAAAGTGAGTACTCATGGGTGATACCTGGCATAGGAGAGACTGTATGAGAACGGGGAAGCCAGTGGGACTGTGAGGCCTGTGTTCGGTTGCATGGGCTGCCAGTGAGACATCATGTAGAAAAACCCCATGGCAATTAAGAGTATAAAGGTCCAGGGCAAGTGGGTAGTCCAGGCTGGCTTGGAACTTACTATGTAGATTAAGCTGGCCTCAAGCTTAAATTTCCTGGCTCCGTCTCCCAAATCCTGGGCTTACAGGTGTGTGCCACCATACCTGTCTAAGCCACTTCTCAAGGACCCTTCCCCTCCCTTCCTTCCTCCATGCACTTCCCCAAAGCAGTGAGATATGGCATGTCAAGAGCAAAAGAGCAAGTCAGTGCTGAAATGGACATGCAATGAACTGTTAAACCAATTAATTAGATTTTTATAAAATAGCTTCATTCCTATTTTTTAATAATTTATTTTTATTTCATGTGCATTGGTGTTTTACCTGCAAATATGTTTGTGTGAGGATGCCAGGTCCCCTGGAACTGGAGTTGCAGACAGTTGTGAGCTGCCATGTGGGTGCTGGGAATTGAACCTGGGTCCTCTGGAAGAGCAGCCAGTACTCTTAACCACTGAGCCACCTCTCCATCCCCCTACTTCATTCCTATTATATATACAATCTAAAAAATGAAAATTAGGGCTGGGGAGATGGCTCAGTCACAGAAAGTCTGAGGACCTCAGGTGGGTCTCCAGACCCACATGGAGAAGCCCAGACTTGGAGGCACACACCCTTCATCCCAGCACTGGGGGGCACATGGGTGGTTTCTGAGGGTTGCTGGCAGTCAGTCATGCCTACTTGGTGAGCCCCAAGTCTTAAAAAACAGGGGAACAGAGCTTAAGACAGATTACCTCTGCTTGCACACACGTACACCCAAACAAATGTGCAACTCTCCACACATGCACACACAAATGAAAATTACAAAAAGGTATTAGGAATAAAATAAATAGTTATCAGAACCAGAAACGTAATCTGTGGGGTGCAATAAGGAAAGAGAACAGAGTTTCTGGTTCAAAATTTAATCAATAATTCCAATAAATCAAGAACATAGCATCAGGCTAAAGCCAGGACTCCTCCACGCAAGGCCTGTGTACCCACAGGATCACACAAACAGGAAGCCAGTCCTACCTGTAATCCCACCACTTAGAGTCAACAGCTGTCAATAATTGACTTAATCAACTTCATTCTTCTCTACTTACATAGTTTTTATTGTGTCTAAAATCATAGTAATAATTGAAATTTTCATACTTGGCTTTTTATTCATGAAATTATTTGATTTGTATTTCTTCTGTCATTTAAAAACTTTATCACTTAAAAACCTTCAGCAATTTCAGGGTCTGCGGATTGTGTTCTAGAATCCCCGGGGACATTCACATGACCTGAAGCTGCTGGACCTAGACCCCAAGTTGAACTGCCCCTGAGCAAGACCTAAATGACCCTGAGCAAGACCTAAGTGACAGGGCAGATCCCACCATGCTCAGCTGCCCACCTCCCAGCATTCCTGTTCCCAGGTCCCTTGAACTTCCTCCTCTCTGACCTAACTCATGCAAGCCTTAACGTGCTCCCCAGCCTTGCTCTGCAGATACCCACAGCCGGCCCTGACCTCCTCTGCTAACTCTTGCAGGGGGTGGGAGAAGTTACGAGTCAGTAGTTTGCATGTCTGCATCTGACGTCACCTGCCTTCAGCCTGAGCCTGAGGACCATACCCCTGGTCTTCTCCGAGTCCACCTGGCTGTACAGCCACTTCTCCCTGGATGCTCATAAGCTCCACTCCCTCTCCTGGTACCACAAAGCTTTGCCAAAGTGCAGTCTACACAAGCCATCCCCATTTCTCCCTCCCCCATACACTTCTACTTCCCCACTACTGGATGGAAACCTCTTCCTCAGTTTGTCCTTGACCTCCATATCGATGACTGCAGGATACATGGTTCACCCCAGGTCACCTTCATTGACTAGTCAGGAATGTTCAATGCAATTCTGGTTTTCCTGACAAGCATCTCCTAGTCCCCTCCTGCCCCTGGGGATATTCCTGTTAGTTGATTTTCTTATCTCCGTTGTAAACCTGGCTTGAAGCCTTTCCACTTCACTTTCTCTCTTCCTTTTACTCAACTCCTCCCTTGTCCCTCTCCCCTCTTCATTGGGGGTTCATCCACTTCAAGACTACACCCCCAAATGAAGGATGATCAGCAAAAGGTCACTTCCTACCCAACCCATTCCTAAGCCTCTTCATTCTCTGATCCTCACCTTCTCAGCTCCCATCCTGGGCAAGGTGCCTTCGACTCCCGCAGAACATCATTTCTCATTGACTATGGACAACATTTAGGTTCCTGCTGCGTATATGATAATCAAAGCACACTGCAACAACTCGCTATACTTATAGTCCTTTCTGATATGCCCATGAAGCAACTACGTTGAATATTTCCATTCACTGTCAGTATTGGCCAGAAAGCCAAGGAGCATCTAGATGAGGGCTGGAGGTTACAACTGATTCTTTAGTCACGAAGCTTAGATATTTTGCTTTTGTACTGAAAAAAAAAAACAAAGTGAATAAGATATCCGGTCTCCCCCACTTCCTTACTTTGCTTCCTGTCATTCCTTCACAGAGAAAATAATAACTAGATACTAGACCAACACTAAGAAGAGAGGTCCTCTTGATTCAATACTGAATCCATAGATATGAAAACATGCAGGAGATGATGAAAATGTGGCTCTCTAAACACTAATGTGCTACATATAACTCATTATGTACACTGGAAGAAAACATGGACCAGAGAGTCCAAACTAGAATATAATTTTAAATAGTGTGGGCAATTGTATAGGGATAAGAGCACATTCATGCTCACCCAAGGGCTTGGGGAGTACATCCAGCCTCTGCCTGGACCGCCCTTCAGTGAAGAGCAGAATGGTACAGATGAACAATTGCCAGTCCTGCCAAGAGAAAAATGTGCTTGCTCACTACTCCCATGGAGTCCGCACTCCCACCACTGCCGGTTCCAAGTGACAGCACGGCAGCACTGTGTCCCACCACTCCCATGGTGTCCGTGCTCCCACCACTGGTGGTCTGTGCTCCCATCACTGCTGGTTCCAAGTGAAAGCACATCAGCACTCAACACACAGATGAGAGGGGATGGGAGGGGATGATCATTACATAATCTATCATTCTGTTACAATAGGACAAAGAACCCTAGGTGGATGGATAACCGTAAAATGTAATAAATAAGAAAAATGCCAAGAATTTTAGCATCTATTGCCCTGTAAATGTAATCAAGTTCAGAGAGTTGAATTCCTAATCATGGCTAACTTGACTTACAGGCCCACATGGGGCACCAAAATGTTTTTCTGATGGCACAGCAGCTGCACCTGAATCTACTGCTGTTTCAGCCAGTAACTACCCACTTCTCAGGCAAGGGCTTTGTGGGACTTCTACATCTGACCAGATCTGCCTCCTGCCACTGCCACCAAATGCAGTTTTTAACTAAACCTCTATCATTCTGTTTACCAATAAAGACTCGGGAGTCAGAGGCTGGGGTGGAAACCTGCTAGCTCAGAGAGGTTGAGGAGCAGCTAGCTGACCTTCCCTCTTTGCCAGCATCTCAGAAAGAGAGTATATCTTCCATCACTCCAAACCGAAAAGCATTGCCATACTCAAAGTTCCTCCCGCTTACTTCCTGTGAGTGTCTCTGTTTACTGCACTTCCTCTGACTCTCTATGATTACTTTCTGTCAACTAGTTGCTGGATCTGCCTCTTGACCCAAGGGTTGATTTTATTTAATTAACTCAAATGCAAACTTGGGGTTCACAGTGTGACCATATATCCTGCAATACTGTGTCTTTAGAATCTAAACCATATATTACAAAACGTAATTATCGCTTACTTTGTTATAATGCCTCTCATCAGTAATGTAGCCAATGTATTCCCACCCTTCCTTTCCTAACAGCCAACAGGATATATGTGAATCTTAATGCTTTAGAAATATCTTGATTATTTTGGAGAAAACAAGGTCTCCTGAAGGAGATCTCTTCCACCCTAAAAGGTGATATGTTAATGATTCCATTTGTTTCTTCAACAAGTTTACATTGAAGATGAGCTGCAGTCAGTGTTTCCTATTTTGGTGTAGCAAGGAACTTAAAAAGGAGAAGAGAACAAACCTGTTAAATGCACACCAAGTTGCTTCTAGAACTGACATAATACTTAGGAGAGCCGGGTCTGATTATATACTAATGTACTCGGCTATTGATTGATTAGTCAGGGCAATGAATTATTATGCTTGGATTGCTGCTTGCAAGGCCTTTTAACTATCTTAGAAAACCAACTAACAATTCCAGAAAAAGCTTTAAAAATAAATGGGTGCCAAAAGGACATAATTCAGCATCTAAGCAGTTTGGTTTGGTGCAAAAAAAAAAAAAAATTAACTTCATCTAGTCCTTGGGGCTTCACAGCAATAAATATTGATTTGATATGAAAAATAGCTATGTACTGTAGTTAATAGTGTTAAGGACACTTTATCCGTTAAAAGAGGGGGAAATACTGCAAAATATGAGCCCCAGGTTATGTTGCTAAGCAAACCCATTGTGTGTTAATAGTTTTATTTATAAAACAGTGCTCTCCATTGATTTTTGGAAGCAGCACAAAGCAGCTGAGAGCGCATTTCACACGTGTTCTGATTGGCTGTCTTCTTGCCTCTGACATCAGTTTATTATTTTTAATGGGTTTCTAGCAACACCCAGGGTTGTTTCTGTTTGGTTGGTTGGTTGGCTGATTTCATCTACTGTTGTTCACATTCTTCTAAAAGCTCCCTGTGCATCCATCCACAAGTCCCCGTCTCTAGGAGCTGTGCTTTCCTCCCCACAGGGCCTCAGTACCAAGTCCCATTCTTGGTGAACAGCAATGAATCCACGGTATGTGTAGACTGGAGTGGTACTTTCCTCCTAAATGGCCAGTTAAAGGAGTACGTGGTCACCGATGGAGGACAGCAGGTGTACAGTGGCCTGGACACCACCATCTACATACCAAGGACAGCGGACAAAAGTTAGTAACTGACTTTCTGCTCTGTGTCAGGTGCTATGGTCCCCAGCTTTATGTTAAACCAGAAAGGTGACCCAAGGAGGCTTGTCATCCAAGTTCCTTGGTTTATGTGGCCCCTGGTTGCAGAAATCTTACAGCTCAGAGTAAATATGTCTCCTTCCTGTTTGTTACTGGATACTTCCAGTGTTGTCTCCAAGCGAGTTAAGGGGCTGCAGGAAGGAAGGAGGCCAGTGAGCAGGTTCAGTTCACAAGACAAACAGCAATAAGCTAAATCGGTGAACGTACTGAGAACTCAGGGGTTTCCCTTTTGTAGCCTCTCTTGCAAACAGCATCACCATCGGTGTGCTGGTTAGTTTTTACCATCAACTTGGCACACTCTAGTGTCATCTGGGAAGAGGGAACCTCATTGTAAGAATTGCCTCCATCAGCTTGGCCTGTAGGCATGTCTGTGAGGCATTTTCTTGGTTGCTTGATTTTCTTGATGTAGGGGCAAGTGGCATGTGGATGGTGCCGTCCCTATGCATGGGAGCCCAAGCTATATCCGAAAGACTGCTCAGCAAGCCAGAGGGAACAAGCCAGCAAGCAATATTCTACCCCAGTTCTGCCTTAGTTCCTGCTCTCACATCCCTCAATGATGGAGTATAACCTAGAAGTATAAACCAAATAAACCCTTCCCTCCCCGGGTTACTTTTGGTCATGATGTTTATCAAAGTAACAAAAAAGTTACCAGAACACCCAATGACCATCTCCAGCCCTAAATCCCTGAGTGAGGGGCTCCCCAAACCTCGCAGGATCAGTCCCTACAAGAACCTCCCCCACTTTCTTCTAGGACTGTACCCCATCCCCCTCTCCAGCTGCATCTCCTATTTCTTTGTCTTGATTTTCAGTTGAAATAAGAAAGGCTCCACAAGGGACTTCAGATTTTCAGGTAACCTGTAGGGTCACAGGGCCAGTGGATACAGAATTGTTTGAAAAGTACATTGGATTTATATAGTAAATCAACCCAAGAGTGTTTGGGTCCTTGAAGGGCCTGTTTAAGCTGAAGGACGACTCCTGTTTGCATTTATAGATACCAAGTTTCACCCTGAGTGAGCCACACACACTGTCACTGCTCCTGGCCACCTGGGCAGCGTGCTACAGAGGGAAGATGGCCTGACAGTTGGCGGATCTGGGTTCTACCTGAGCAAGTCTCAGACCATCTGTGTGACCTTGAAAGAGGCACAGGGTCCTGGCAACTGAAACAGGAATTTGGATCATGTGATTCCCAAGTTTCCTTCTGAGCTCCCCTGTCCAGGAAAAGGTGTAGACCAAATGCAGAGCAAGACTGGCTCCTTTGTAGTCCTTGACTCCTCTGACGGGATGTTGCTTTGCCACTCTGGTGGAAGCTCTGATCTTTCCCTCCACCCTGACAGACACGCTGCCATTACACAACGGCTCTTTGCTGATTGACTTTTAATTAGAAATTTGCATCTTAGATGATAGCTTCTCATTGCTATAACAAATGCCTAAGACAGTCTTATAAAGAGAAGATATTTATTCTGGTTCATAAATGGTTCTCACCTGTTATCTGCTGGCCCACAGCTTTGGGCCTGTGGTGTGGGAGCACACGGCAAGAGGCCATGGCAGAGCCTCTTCTGGGTTCCTCTCCCTCACAGCAGCACTGCTCAGGAAAGAATTACCACTGAGATGCCGTTGGCCTTTGCAGGACCATTGGCATCTAAACTGTAGTGCCCTGGTTCACTTCTGCTGCTGTGATTCAAAACAAAAACTACCCTGACCAAAAGGGAGTTAAGGGGAGCATGGTTCCAGGTTCCAGTCCATCCCTGAGGAGAGGTCAAGGCAGCAGGAACCTGAAGTATCTGGTCACATTTCAGCCACAGTAAAGGACAGAGAGAATGAATGTATGTGTGGGGCACTCAGCAGCTTCCTCTACTCTTATAAGGTCCAGAACCCAGAACCAGGAAATGGAAATGGCACCATCCACTTTCAGGCTGGGTCTTCCCACATCAATGAACACCATCATGACCATCCCCCACAGTTAGAACTGATCATCACATGTAACATTAACACTCGGTTCGTTCTGGAGTGATATTTTCATTGCTCTTTCAAGATGATGCCCCTGTTAGCTGGTGTTAAAGGACTAAAGACTTACCAGTTCTTTCTTTTTGTCTAGCTTTCTTCTTCCAGGTCACCTGCACAACAGACATGGGAAGTGTTAAGACTCCACTGTTCCAGTATGATGCCACTACTGGGTTTGGTAAACAGTTCTCTTGTCTTGTGTTTAGTGTATCAGCTACTCATTTTCCTCAAGAGACTGGCAGATGTCTGCATATAGACACCGTTGACACATTCATGGTAGCCTTTTTGAAGAAACTGTAGTATGTCATTAAAGAAGAGGAGGAGGAAGAGAAGGAAGAGGAGGAAGAGGAGGGAGGAGGAGGAAGGAGGAGGAGGAGGAGGAGGAGGAGGAGGAGGAGGAGGAGGAGGAGGAGGAAAGAAAGGAAGAAAGGAAAAGAAAACTTTCCAGATCCTAATGAAACTTCTACTAGACAAGGAGTTAGTATTATTTTCAAGTCAAGTCATTGAGTTGTCAATGTGGCAAATATTGGGGAGACCTGATAAAGCTTCTCTTTTGAACTAAAAATTTTATCTAAGGAATTTTATGACTTCATGTACACAAAGGTAGCAGAGAGAGAATCCAGGAAAGATGAGAAGATAGGAGACAATAGGTGGCCAATTCTGTTCCTGATGGGCCTAACAATGTCCTAGAGTCAGAGCCTACAGTGGTGAACTGGGGGCATTTCTATCTATAACCTTCACAAGTTAGGATGACTTAAGGAGATGATTCAACGAGGAAGGCACCTAGCACACATTCACAAGGACCTGAGTTTGAATCCCCAGAACCCACTTACAGCCAGGTATGGCAGTATAGTTAGTTTGTCATCTCAGTGCTTCCAAGGCAAAATGAGAAGTGGAGACAGGAGAGTCCCTAGACACCCACGGGTCAGCTGGCAAACAACAGAGACCCTGTCTCACATAAGGTGGAAGGCAAGGCTGTCCTCTGCCCTCGGCGTGGCCCCCTCCAACACACACACACACACACACACACACACACACACACACACACACACACACACACACATACACACACACACACACACACACAGTTTCAATCAACAGCTGTCCATACTGTGCACACTGGGTGTACCATATAATCTCTCGGACTCAACGTGACCGTCCAATAGAGCTAATCTCATTTTATTCAGAGCTGCAAGACAGGAAAGAATCCATTTGGTATCTTCAACAAACCCAATTTCCCAGTCGGACAGTGGAGGACACCGGGATTTATTCAGGAGTGTTCTGCAAACGTCTATGGATGCTCACTCACCCAAATGTAGTCTTCCTACCAACTCCTGGACCCAGACATTTTCTTCGGCTGTGTTTCTCTGGCTTACATGTTCCTAAGAATCAGCTCTGTATGCCTGTTAATTAGACAGATCCTCAGGTTGCTGGCACACATACAGAAGGGAGGGGCACGGAGATTGTGTCTTGTAAATATGCCCTGTCCAGTGGCGGTGACACTGGGGCCCAGTACCACCTGATGACTGATCCGGACTCCACATCAACCACTGGAGAGACTCATTTGACTCCACTTACGGACCAGGTTTTCTTGTAGCCAGCTCCCAACCACGGAATTCATCCCCTGATTATGACCCCGGCACTGGATAAGCAAGGCAGGGCCCCTTAAAGTAAAAGTGCAGTCTGAAAGGAAAAGGGGATACGAGCCACGGTCCTGTTTTCAGTCTTTATCACAGGGCAGTAACTTCCAGTCATCTCCTGAGCACAAATGGAACTTCCCACTGCAGCCGCGGTGCTGAGGGTGGCCCTCTTGTCTGGAGGCGAGCTCTTGGCAGAGCAGAGGGAAGGAACTGTGGGCTGTGCTGGTTCAGGGATGTGCTGCCCGGCTGATCTCTCTAGTCAGTTTTAATTTTTATGATATAATTTCTAAAGAGTTCCTGTTCTGTTGCCTGGAGCAGCCTCCAAGCAGGGGAAGAGGCAGAGACTGTGTCTCCTACTGCAGTGAGCTTTTCCCTCTGAGGTTCCCCTCGGGCACCCTGCCCTTCATTCCCCATGTACTCCTGTGCAAAGAGCACACACAGCCCATCAGATCAGTCTCTGGGGCCCCAGCCCTGTGCCCCCCCCCAACACACACAGGAACTTAACCCTTCTCGTGCACAGCCAGGGTTCAGTTTTCAAACACCACATGCAGGTTCTCACTGTGAAGGGGCTTCTAACCTGCTGGAGCTTTGTCTTCAACTTTTTCTTTTAGAAGTGAGGAGGAGAGGCCCAGGGCACTGGTGACTTTTCAAACGATGTCACTGATCAAAAGTAGAGTTAGGTTCGCAAAGGTGTACCCTCCTCTCGGGGCTCAAACTTAGTTTGAGTCATCTTCTACGACTCCCCCTAAGTGTGCACATCAGGCCCTGGCATGTCTTCCCTGCCCTCTGGTCCTGATCTGCTGAAAACAGGAAGGTGTCCCAGGAGCAGATTTCACTGCCATCAGCAAAACTCAGCTGCTGGCATTGGCGCTCAGAAGGCAAGGCTTTGGCTCTCAGATTCAGGCCAGCCTGGGTGGTGGCTGCATCACAGCTGTGAGCCTACAAGCTGTTCTCAGTGAAGGGGTGGGTGGCTGACCTAAGACCCTCTCCCACTCAGTTAGCCAGCCCGATGGCATGATTCCACTGCCTAATACCATTCTGTAGGACCCCATAGCCCCCTTTCCCTTGTGCCCCGCTTCGGTCCCCCACACAGAAGATAAGGTAATCCTACCACTGCTTACTTTTCCTATCTAGAAATCCTAAATTCTTATCATGTTGTTCAGCTTTCCTTCACTGCATCAGAAGACCCGAGAAAAACAATATAAAGAGGAGATTTGTTTAGGTTCACCCCTTTGAGATTTCAGTCCACGGTCACATGGCCCTACTGTCTCTGACTCTGAACACTGGTTAGAAGCATGTGACAGAGCATAGTTGCTTACCTCATACCTCATGACAGCCACAAAGCAGAGAGAGATGGGTCTGAACCAAGTACACCCTTCAAGTCATGCCCACAGTGACCTACTTCCTCCAACCAGGCCTCACCGCTCAACAGCCCACTAAGCCACAAACTCAACAATGGATTTACCCATCAGTGAGGCAACAGCCTTAATGATCTAGTCACCTGTCATTGACCTATCTCTGAACACTGCTGTCCAAAGGAGCAAGCATTCCACACAGATCCAAACTGGAACCCTCACTGAATGTGAACTTAGACTGGCCATGGGCTAAGAAAAGAACGCCAACTTTAGCACACAAATCCAGGAAAGTGGTTTTACTGATACTTCCCTCCATAGGACGCTCCCCCAGTGTATTTGAGATGACGGTTTGTAGAACTTTGGATGATTAACAGAGGCCAGGCAACAAGCCTCGGGAAAGCTGTTAGAACAGGCTGTTGACATTCACAGTTGAAAAGATCTGATGTCTCAAAATCTAGTTTACTGTCTCTTGACCACCAATCATTTTTCTAAAGTGATGGTGATCTGTAGCACTGTGACTGCTGGCCTCATCCCTGGAAGGTGATGGTGATCTGTGAACTGCTGGCCTCATCCCTGTAAGGTGATGGTGATCTGCAACAATATCCTTGAAGCACCCCGAACCATCACTCTAGCTCACATGTAGTTAGAAACAAGCACACAAGACTGCTTCACTATCAAAAAAACAGCACCACAAGCCACAAGATTGCCTACTGAAAGAATCTTTTCCTTTCCTGTGTTTTTCAGGCCCAGTGCTGACAACTCCTGGAGAAAAGAAGGGAGCAGGGACCAAAATCACAGAGTTCTACACTGAGCTGTGGTTCATCGTGGTAATGGCGGTGTTGGGCCTGATCTTGCTGGCCATTTTTCTGTCCTTGATTCTACAAAGAAAAATCCACAGGGAGCCATGTATCAGAGAGAGACCTCCCTTAGTGCCTCTTCAAAAACGAATGACCCCACTGAGTGTCTACCCTCCAGGGGAAACCCATGTGGTATGTATGGAAAGCAAGCCTTTTTCCTGGTGTGACCTGCTTTTCATCCTTATGAATTCACTTATCATTCTAATGCTTTTGGTGACGTATTTATGCATAAAATCATGCCGGCAAACATAGACAAATTAACCTCTCATCCTTTCTGATTTAGATATCCTTTAAACCTTTCTTTTGCTTCATTGCTCTTGCAAAGACTTCCTTTCAGTACTGTTAACAGTGGTGAGGATGGGCATCATTGTCTTCTTTCAAAAGCAAGCAAGCAAGCTTTTTCCTTTTGCTCAAGTATAGTATGTGATAGCTTATATATATATATATATATATATATATATATATATATATATATATATATATATATATATAAATGTTCTTTAGTCCATGGAAGTATGATTACATGTGCAATTATTTAGTAATTTTACCATGAATTTTATCAAACACCTTTTCTGCAAAATGAACTATATGGTTTCTCTTCTTCCTTCTGACGATACAGTATTGTATTTCTTGATTTGTACATGTTGAACCATCCTGGCATGCCTGGGACCAATTCCACCTAATCATGGTATATGTTCTTTTTGATGTGAAAAGGGAAATGCTATTTCAAGGGGCAATTTCTAATGACTTCTAAAGGAGTTAAAAACCAGTGTCTTATGCATGTTCTCATTTGCATGCAGGCTGGGATATTGGTTCAGGTCTTACTAGTATACAAGCATCAACTTGAACTTTGCTCCCTAATATGTAATGAGAACACTTGCTTCTGTGTCCATTGCAGGGTATGAGTCTACAGCTATTTCTGTGTGCGGTAGCACTATACGCTCTATTGTATTGTTTTTTGTTTGTCTGGCTTGAGTATCGGGGTAATGTCAGCCTCATAAAGAATTTGGTCTGGTCATTTGGGATTTTTGGAATAGTTTAAAAGGCATGAGAAGTACTTATCCTTTAAATACTCTCAGCAAAGCCATCAGAACTGAGACAGTTTAGAGGAAAGATTGAATTTTTTTCAAAGATTTTGGCTATATGTTTATGTGTTTATATGTAAGTATGTGCATGTGAGTTCAGGTGCCTGCAGAGGCCAGAAGATCTCAGATTCCCATGGAGTTGGAGTTACAGGCAGAAGTGCTGGGAACAAAACTTGGTACTCTGCAGAGCCACGACACTCCTCACAGATGACTCATCTTTCCAGCCTTAAGATGAAAGGGTCTTACTGTTTCAACATCATTTGCTGATTATTGGTCTGTTTGGATTTTCTGTTCACTTTGATTCACTTTGGGGCATATTGATAGGCTCAAACATCTACTCATTTCTAGTTTTTCCTGCTTCTGATAGGTGTTCATACTAGTTTTTATGACTTTGAATTTCTGTGGGACCTCTTGACCATTAGGAGTGTTATTCAATTTACATGTATTTATTTGTTCACTTTCCATTGCCTCTGTTATTCTTAGATTGTAGTTTTAATCTGTCATAGTCTAAGTAGAACTGCAATTGTTGAGTCTTGATTTGTGGTTTAACTGCTCTATCCTCAAGATTCTGATGGGAATCTGTGTGTTGCTGCTGGATAAAATGTTCAGTAACTGTTAGGAATGTTTCCTTTGAAGTATGGTTCTACGCTGCTGTCTCTTTGATGATTTGTGTTTGCATGGCATGCCCAGTGAAGAAATTTGGGTGTTGAAATGCCCAGCTCCTATGGAATTAATCTTTTACTTTAGAGCTAAATTTACTTTGTATTGGGAAGCCCCATGTTGGGCACTGTCTTAGTGTTTCTTCACAGCAATAAATATGACCAAGGCAACTTGGAAAAGAAAGGATTTAATTGGAGGCTTGTCTAACAGTTTCAGAGAATGAGTCCATGATTTTCATGGTGGGGAGCATAGCAGCTGGCAGGCATGGCACTGGGAGTAGAGGAGAGCTTACACATTGAGACAACCAAGGCCATACCTCCTAATCCTTCCCAAACAGTTCCACCAACTGGGGACCATTCTCATTCAAATCAGGACATTTACATATCTTTACAATTTTTTTTTTTTTTTTTTTTGAGACAGGGTTTCTCTGTGTAGCTTTGCGCCTTTCCTGGAGCTCGCTTTGGAGACTAGGCTTGCCTCGAACTCACAGAGATCTGCCTGGCTCTGCCTCCTAAGTGCTGGGATTAAAGGCGTGTGCCACCACCGCTCAGCTCTTTACAATTCTTATGTCATTTTGAGCAAATCATTTTCTCACTATGATTGTCTCTTTGTAAAGATTTTAGTATCTATTTTATCTGAAATGAATGCAGCTATTCTTGCAATACCTTTTTTCTTTAATACCAGAGACTGAATCTAAAACCTTGCACATACCAGGAAAAAACTCTGCCACTGAGCTATATCTATCCTCCTCTACCCACCCAACCTTTTTATTTATTTATTTATTTTTTGGTTTTAAGATAAGATTTTCCTTAGTTGCCCAGGCTGGCCTTGAATTTGCCATCTTCTTTCCTCAGCCTCCTAATTAGCATGGATGACAGACCTGAACTAAGAAACTCAGATCATTTTTGGTTCCTATTTGTGAGGTATCTTTTTAGTATATTTTTAGTATACTTGGTATATCTTTATAGTGAAGCAATGAAGCGAGTTTCTTGTAGGCGGTATATAGTTGGGTCTTAGGATTTTTGTGGTTTGTTCTCGGTTTTTTTTGTTTGGTTTTTTTTTTTTTGGTAACCAGGGATGCCACAATAGCTTGCAACTCATAATCCTCCTGCCTCTGACTCCCATGTACTTACATTATATGTGTATACCACTATATCTGGCTTTCAATTAATTCTTAATTCTGCCAATCTATATTTCTTGATTGGTGAATTTTATCCACTTATGGGCAATGATGTTATTAACTACTTCCTGTCATTTTGATAACTGTATTTTGCTTTCCTTGTATTTGTTTGGCAGCATCTAATTTTAAATTTTTAGGGTGGTGTTCCAATGAGTCTTATACATTGTTTTCATAACAGCAGTTACCACCATTTACCTTCATTTCTAGGTAGAATGTCCCTGTGTTTCCTAGTGTTGGCAAAGAATTCCCTAAGTTCCTTCTTATCTGGGAAAGACTTTAGTATTATTTTAAGCATGTTTCCTCTTCTGTATTTTTAATATGTAATATTATTCTCTTCTAGCTATAAGTTTTCTGTGAAAATTCTGCTGCAAATCTGAGTAGCCCCTTAATGTTTTGAGAATTCTTAGTTATATACACAATATTTACTAAAACATACCATGATTAAGGTCTATTCTGGATGAAGCTAGTTTGGGATCTTTCAGCTTCATAAATCTGGATATCCATATCTCTGGGGATTTTTTTTTAAATGTATTATGTTTATGTATTTATACAATTTATATTAATCATATACATTTACCATTATCTTCCTCTATTCCCCACTACCCCCAAATCTTCCAAACTCCATGCTTTCCTTTTTAAATGGCTATTAATACGAACCCCCAGTACACCTAATGCTGCCCACATGTGCATGGGTATATGGGCCCATCCACTGGGGCATGGACCTACCCAAAGAAAAGTATGTTTTCCTCTCTCAGCAGCCATCAACGGCCAATAGCTCCTCTGACAGTGGTGATGCATGCTGGAATCTTGACTGGCAACAGCTGTGTCCTACCCGGAAGTCAGCATTCCACAGATCTCCTCCCCACCCACCAGCTCTTGGAAAATTGTCAGTCATTTTGTGAAATCATTTTTTCAGAAACTTTCCCCCTTCCCTCACTTTCTATAATTCTCAAAATGCAAATTGTCACTATGGGCCTTGTAAGTTCCATCATTCTTGGTCTGTTTTCATCTTAATGTCCCAGTGTCAGTAAGCTGTCTCCAAGTTCTGAATTCTTTCTTTAGCTTGTCCTATGCTACTGTGGAAAGTTTCCTTTATAATTTTTCATTTCATTCATGGAAGATTCCCGATTGGTTCTTTTCATGATTTCTGTCTTTTAGTGAATTCCTCACTTACCTTCTACATTGTCCCATCATTTCTTTGTAGTATTCTGCACTTAAGTCTCAATTTCTTTAGGATCGTGTTTATTGTTTTAGGCACTTTGTAAATTTCCTTCAAATTTAGATGTGTTCTTGGAGAATTCTTATTAAGAACTGGCCATATATCCTCTCATGTTTAGATTTATGCCTACTGTAACATTTTTCTTCCATTTTTATAGGAAAAGGGTTTTGTTGTTTATATGAGATATTGGATGACAGTTTGGAACATTTGGTTATAAGGGAGCTTAAAAACAGTCTCCAATGCCTAGACTGCAGTAGTTCATGGTGGTACTTATTTGAGTGAGACATAGACTTAGAAGGGTATGTGTCTTTAGGCCCAACAGAGTCCGCTCCAATAACACTGGGATTGGTGAGCAGCTGCCAGTCTAGATGGCATGGGTACAGGGAGGACCAAGTTCCTTGGGGCAAGCACAGGTGATGCCAAGGATTGTGACACTGCCCTGACAGTTCTTGAGCCACAGGATGTAGGATGGGGCCCTTTGCAGGTACCACAGATGTCCAAAGATGGGGTTAGCATCTATAGGCCAAGCAATGCTGGACTTCCCTGGGTCCTGTAGGCAATGACAGTGGCAGAAGACAGGAACAAGCACACATGGCACCAGCAAGTATGGACCCAACTCCACAGGCTGTGAGGTTCATTCCCTCAATCAACTAGTACATATAGCATTTTCATTAAGGCATGTGCGCTGCCATATCCACTCCTTGGGAGGATATGCAGGAAACTTCCATTTGGTTTCACAAGTCAATATGGGCAGTTCTGAGGCTTGTGGATTTGGCCTCTAATACTCCTAGAGCTTCGGAGACTGGGGATAACACTTACCATTCAGGATGTAATATATGCAGACTCTTTCCTTGGTCCCCAGGGTGTCCTTGTCTACCCAGAGCTACAAGTTACTGGCTAGAAGGAAAACTTCTATAGATCCTCTTATGAAGTGCAGGTACTGACAGGTTAGAGCCACTGGTGACTATGTTCCTAAAGCCATAAGGCTTAGCACCCAAAGGCACAGGTGAAACTGGCATGTCGCTAATATTCCAACATTTCTGACTGAGAAGGGAACTCCCCTAGCTCACATGCAGTGGAAGATAGGTGTTGTGTTCCTGGAGCTGCCTACTGGGTTTTCCTGGGACTTGTTATCATAGTTATCAGCTCTAGCTATGTAGGCATGGGTGAGACCAGGGATTTTCAGCAGTGGGTACAGTCCAACTGTGTTGTAGAAAGATCCTCCCCAATTCATGAGCTCCTGGTCACAGTGGCTACCAGACTTTATACTGCAGGATCCTTTAAAGCAATCTTCTGCCCAGGAAGGTGGAGGTACATACTGACCCAAGGCTTTCAGTGGGTCCTATTATTTGACAGCCAAGATGTCATCAAAAGGGGCTGCTAAGGTTGCTTGAGTTCTGGGAGCAGTTCGGAGTGAGTACATTCCTTGATTCACAGGAATCACTTCTCTTTTTTAATTTGTGTTGAGACTGAACCCAAGGCCTTGTACATGCTAGTGAAGTGTTCTGTCACTGAGCCACAGCCCTGGCTGGGGAGTTGTTTTAACAACCATCAGCTCCCCGAACTAGATTTTTCGCTTGTAAGTACTGTGGCTGTCTCACTCATGTTTGCTGCTATGGTCCACATTATTGGCACCTGCTTACATGATGCCAGCAGCATTTGGTTCCATCCTGGCCAGGACCCTGGTGACAAGGTCACACATTGCTTTTCCAGCCTCTAGGTCACCTTCCACTGATTGTTCTCCTCTTTGGGGTTTCCACTACTTCTGATTTCTAGAATTCATTCTCTCTCCTCAAAACAGCTGCCCACTAGTGGCTCAAACTCTTTTTTGTGGTAGGGTTTTTTGAAACAGCGTTTTTCTGTGTAGTTTTGGTGCCTGTCCTGGATCTCGATTTCATGCTGTAGACCAGACTGGCCTCGAGCTCACAGAGATCCACCTGGCTCTGCCTCCTGAGTGCTGGGAAAAAGGCGTGCGCCACCACTGTCCAGTGAAGGGTATTTCTTGGCCATCTTGGTTCTGAACCCCTGAAACAGTGTTAAAGACTAATGTACCCATTTGCTTTTTCCTTTCAGTTTGACTCTGTGGCTGACATATCTGATGTGTCCAGCAGTGTCACCCTAAAAAGTTACACCATGCACTTTGAGGTACCTCTGTGTGTTGCATGGATGCCATCTGCTCTTTGTGCATGCTGTGTGGATTGTCCACTGAGAAGCAGAAATATTGCACTGATGGAACCATGAAATCAGAAACTCTGCATGTTTCAGTCAGCTAGAATTTACCTTAAGAGCACATCTTAGATTATAGTTATGGAGATATTTTGCCTTGCTGGTGATAAGGACAGAGCTGATGATTTATGGAGTCTAGATTCCTACAAGAAGGTAAATATGAGGAGAGGAAGAAGGGTGGGATCACTTCCTACACCAGTCCAGAACTCTGAAAATAAAATATATATTGCTCTTAGAGGGCAACCATGAACAATATGGTTCACCTTTGACAAGGGAGAAGAGAAGTTCAAGAGGCAGGCTCCATGTCAGTGTGTAGTTAGAGAGCACCTTAACCTAGCCCCACCTCCCTGGATTCACTGCTCGGCAGGCCTGGCCCCAGTGGGAGCAACAGCCACCAAGGCAGGACACGAGCACCCTAGGGGTCAAGAGCACTGCCGCTAACAACAGGCCCATTTCTCATGGAAATGAGGCACAGTATTCCACGTGCCCATAGCTGCAGAGTTCAAGTTCTGTTGTAGGAGGCTCGAGAACATCACTCCTTTCAAGCATGATGTGTGAAAACCAGTTCCCAACCACGCTGTTACCCATCCATCTCCAACAGCAGCTTCCTTTTCAGGGATTAGCCGACACCAGAATCCCTCGGTCTGGGACGCCTTTGAGTATTCGGAGCAGCCGAAGTGTGTCTGTACTAAGGATCCCAAGTCAAAGCCAAATCAGCCAGACCTACTCCCAGGGCTCTCTCCACCGCAGTGTCAGCCAGCTCATGGACATTCCAGAGAAGAAGGGCTTGGCAGAGGACTCGCTCTGGGAAACTATTATGGGCCACAGCAGTGGACTGGTGAGTTGGTGGCCTCCTGTACACACGCTGCTGCCCTTGAGCACCCGCCCAATTCTGTTGTAAACCACTGACTTAACCAAAGAGCAGCAGCAACGCTGTTAATGGGGTAAGACTGCTGTTGTCCTGCTAGATGATAAGACACTCAGAAAATACAGAAACTAACTAAAAGGCATAAAATGCAACACTTGGTTTACTTTAAGAAAACCAGAAACCATGATAACTACATTCCTGTTATTCATCACATTCAGAGACAAGGTTACATGGACCTCAGGATGACCTTGAACAAGTTTCTCCTTTCTCCATCTCCTATATGCTGCCATTACAGGCAGGTGCTCCATGTTCTCCCTTTAAAAACAAACATGCAGCACTGGGGATTGAACCCAGGGCTCTTTGTGCATGCTAGACATGCACTCTACCAACTGAGACGCATCACTAGCCCTCAGTCACTATTTATGAGCGCCATCTTTCATAAATTTAGTCCAATAGTAGGAATGACTGGCTTTGAGGGATCACCTGTCATCTCGTATCAGCCTCAAGCTCCCTAGTGGCTGAGGGGATGAACATCGTAGGATTTTTACCAACCATCCCGCTTTGTCATCCTGGACATCTACTGCAGTGCCTTTCCGTTCAGCTAGTAGGAGAAGAAACTGGCAGAGAGCTTAGCTCTCCTCCACGTCCACTGCCTCCAAAGTCCTCTGTACTTTCCCTTCACCGAAAAGTTGGTGGCTTCCAGGAGTTCCTTTCTGACTAATGACAACATGACAAAGGGATTCCTGCCATCACCCAAGTCCTTTGTGCTTATTCTGAAAGATTAAATACATAGTGAAGGTAAAAGTTCTCTTCCTGGGGCTAGGGTGGCGGCTCAGGTGACAGAGTGCTCAACATGCATGAAGCCCTGGGTCCAATCCCAAGGAACACAGTGGAGGATCAAAAGTTGAAGGTCATCTTTAACTACGTGGCAAGTTTGAGGCCACCTGGGATACATAAGACATTGCCTCACACACAAAACAAAAAACCTTTTCAAAAATCCTGATCTTGTTATAACTCAATCACATAATTCCATTCCAGATCTAGGTTTTAAATGGAAGGGACAATTAAATTCAATATTTGCTAAATGAATTTTTTTCAAAACGTAAATTTACTCCCTGTAACAATGAAGACATAGATGGAACATTACAAATAATCTGCACGCAGCCACCATCATTACAGGAGTGTAGGATCACAGGTGGCTGGGACCTACCCAAGAGCATAAGTCATCTTTTTGTGGGATTGTGATCAGAGGCTTTGCCTGTAACAATGGCCAGGTGAGTTTGGTGTTTGGTTCTAGTAAAGGGCCGTGTGCAGGAGTCAGTGGAGTCCTGTGAGGGTGCCAACACCTGGCAAGTTACTGGTTCATTATGAAATCATATCATTAACCCTGTTGATAAATACAGTACACAGAGTAGAGAGCAACAGGGCGTAATAGCTTGTGTCCTGGCTTTTACTCTTTTAAATCTTATAAACTACATATACACACATTGCATATTTCCCTACTCTACAGATAAACTGAGGCTCACAGAGGCTAAGATTGTACAGTGTGACACTCTGAGTACTGAGCTAACTGGAATCTCATGTGATCCCTTCAGTGAAGGGAATTTAAAGGAAAGTCTGTCTCAAACCACATCCTAGTGTTGAACATAGGCAGCTTTTAATTCACTGAACATGTTTTATGATTGCTTGCTTTTCAGTATGTGGATGAAGAGGAACTAATGAATGCCATCAAGGGTTTCAGCTCAGTAACCAAGGAACACACCACCTTCACCGACACCCACCTGTAAAGAACGGAAGTTACAACATGGAAATCTGGGGTGCGTGTGCTCTGTATCCTGTTTCTCCTGGTTACCACATGTCACAGAAGCTGAAAAATACTTAAAGAAAACTTTTTAATTTTTCCTAATAGAGACTTAAGAACTATTTCTCTGGTTTTCTCAAATAAGGAATTCCGTTGCCTTGCTGATTTTGTGGATGACAAAACCTTCGGTTCTCTGGGTTCTGCCTGGGACACTGTTAAAGGAACAGTGCAGGCCATTTCAAGACAGCGAACACTTGTTATCAGTAATGAGATGGTACTGGTTTAAAACCAGGCACGACTACGAGGAGGGCGGTGAAATCCTATGAGCAATACCTGCACTTGCGATTGCAGCTCCACACTGAAGCAGAGAACCAGCTCTGCATGCACACATGGGGAAGGTTCTAGGGTTGCTGCTGAGAGCTTCCCACAGTCCAACTACAGTCCAGCCACACACAGCTCTCCTAGCTGTTCCTAAGAACTTAGCTCATGCATGCAAACTGGGAATGTTACAACCAGAACACCATTGCTTGAACCCAGGTCTTGTTTCAGAACTAAAACCTGCGAGATCGTCAATTAGTACTTTCCATAAAATATGAATCTGCTGCTCCCAGAAAACCTCCTTTAGTTTTAAAAGTTTTAGAACATTTTTCTGAGTTTATGTGACAATATCTTGTGGCCCTTTGCGAGGGACTAACTGCTTATTTTGCTGAAAAGCCACTATTTACCTATGATCCAACAGTCCAAGGCTGGACTTCTGGGATGCTGAACTGTCATCCAAACCTGTGGCACACATGCCACCCTTCAGTGTCAAAGCAAAGAGTGGAATTAAACACTTCCACCCCTTGTCACAACTAAAGTGGCAGGGCATCCACAGTGGCTGTACACATCCTAACACGCATTTTCCATCTTGCCAAAAGTTTTCTACCTTTTGAAATAGAAACAGAACTGGCCAGTCCACTAAGCTTTATCTCACATAATTATTCGGTTATAGCAAAGAGGGCCTGCCTCTCATGGCTGCAGGTAGGCGCTACCAGGATCATGAGGTCCTACATCTGGGTAGCATTTTTCCAATCAGGAACAAATCATTAGTGAGAAATATTGTCTAAACAACAGCTCCTGAGGACTAAGCCTAATATCTAGGGAGGATGATCCCCTGGAGTGTGATACTTTCCTGCTGTGTGTTTAGCACCATGCAGGCAGCCAACATTAATCATTTCTTTTTAACTGTCAAGGCTGAATGAGGGTCTGATCCTCGGGTCACTGGGGCTTGCCAGTTGTCCCATCTATGTGAGGGTAGGTCAGAAACCTTGTTTGACCATGGCTTCATTCACAAATATGGAGGAAATTTCCCTGCTGACATGCCTCTCTGTAGACTCAATTTGAGCTCTAACCAGTCTACAGTCACTGGATAACATCTCCATAGTCTCCCTGAACAAGACAACAGGTGATTCCCTAGTTATACCTCAGAGGTCCCTGGGACAAAGCTGACCTTGAGAGGGAAATGGGAAGTGGCCTTCCTCTTAATCCCTCTGACCACATTAGTCTCCCAAGTATGGTTCCCCAACACTTAAAAGTTCCAGACTGCCTTCACTGGCCTTCTATCCACTGAGTAGTATTTAGATAAAGCTTGGGGGCAGGGGGGAACAAAACACTGAAACTTTAGTTTAGATGTGATTCTGATCTTTAAGCCAATCCTTGGAATTGCTACAGAGATAAAAATAACTCCATTGATTTAAGCAGAAGTTTGATATCAATGTATTAAACTCTGACCTGTTACATACCATATATAACTTGCCCAGACCCTGGTAACTTGTGTATGCTTTCTAATGAGACTTAATGACATGAATAAACCTACCTGAGATGATCTTTACAAGTTGGCTTGGTGGATGCCATGGCAGCTGTTTGGCTTCAAAGATAGTGTCGTGTAATAGCGCCTTAATAAAAAAAGATTGAACCCAAACTACATCTGTAGTAACTTAATACCACCTGTATACACGCTGCTCCCCTGAGGGCTGGTGAGTTCCCAGGTAAACCTTACAGAAAACACCAGTCTTCACACAGCAGAGTGATCTACCACAACAGTGAGTAGCAGACAAAGCAAACTGCAGTTCTGGACTTACTACATAGGTGGTTTCTGTTTTTTTCCATTAGTTGCGTCATGATGCCTTTACTCTTTGATTCTGTGGCAGGGAGAAACAGCCAGAGGGCCAGCTGATTCAGGAAATGCCAAGATTTGGTATCTCCAGAGCTAGCCTCTCAGGGACTCAAACAGCACAGGAGAATTTAATGCACACACAAGGCATTTATTTTCTCTTCTCTAAAACTCAACAGAGTGGCTTACAATAAATAGACTTGCTGTTGAGTCCATTGACAACGAACTGGACCCAAAATGCCTTGTCCTTATAACCCGTTGAGACTGGTTCAGACGACAAGTCTCATCACCTACGGGATCATGCAATGGGTACAGGGATGGAGGGACACAGAAAAGTTTTCTTTCCTTTTGGAGCCTTTAAACTTTATAAAACCCTGGGTGGGCACTGGAGCACTGCTTGGAAGCCTGTACCCACAACCAATTTCTGGGTGTTTGCAAATGGAGACAGACAACCTGAAAAACTCAATAACCTGTTTTTCTTTTGGTTCTTCTCATGAGTAGGCTCCATGAACAAAGGTGGGTGTGAATTCTCCCATCATCTCATGCAAAGGAAACATCCCAGAATGAATTGGGGCTATACTTGGCAAAAGGAAATCAGGTTGTGAGTGTCTTAGAGCCTTGTCATGTTCAGTGCTACAGGAAGCAGCTGAGTGGACGATGGGAGACTCTGGAACCCATTTGTCCTGCCTGCACTGAGACAGAGGAGAGACTTACGTCAGGGTCGGCCTTTCTCTGCCACCCTGTTCGTCCTGAGCAGAGGCCAGACTGAGCAGTGAGATCTCCACACCTACCTGTGCCTCAGTCCCCTACAACTCCCAGCTCCTCTCCAGTCTTTGTCAGGGTCATCTTGTCCCCTTGTCTGTCCCTGCATAAACTTGGGCCCAGGTACCCACAGTTCCATTTGTTTCCAAGATGCCACCATCTCTCAGCACACTTGGCTTACCTTAAGAACCATTTTCTATGCCTCGACGTGACATTAAGCCACGGGAGCTCGGTGCACACCAAGTGATACATGCTGCTCTGCTGTGGCCTCACAGGATCTGAAGGCCAAGGTTAAGACATTTCCAGTGACCAGCAGTTCACCTCAGTGCACAGACCTAGAGGAGAAGCAGATGCAGAAGACAGGCAAAGAGGCTCCAGCCACTGGAGATGCAGGGCAGAAAGAACAGTTATGAAGACCAACGGAGCCTTCCCCTCCAGCCTCCCAACTGAGTAGGATGACCTTCTTTGTTACCAGCAGCAGCTTGTCCTGCACCTGGCCCTGCACTAATGCAAACTCACACGAACCAGGAAGGCTCGTAAGCCTCCAGGAACCAGGAAGGACATAAAGCTATGCTGCTGAGAGAGGGTCCTCTGTTTCCTCCATGGGCTGACCGTAGCAGTGCTGGGAGGAAAGCTAGCCCAGGGCCTGCTACAAGTGTGTGCAATCTTGCAACTGCCACACCCCACCCACAGCTCCACAGCCAGTGCTCGTCCATTGGTGTGTGGGTGGGTGGGGGACCTCCAGAGCCCGCTGTCTTTCAGGGCCAACAGAGCTTTGCACATAGTAAGGACAGGGAGGGGAGAGGGGAGGCCAGTCTGGAAAAGGTATGTGTGTGGAGGGAGCATGGGTAAGGTCAGCCAGGCGATGCAGCTATGGGAGACCCTGTTCCTCAGCCTCTCCACACAGTATACATCCTATGAGTTCCAACGACAACAAAGACAAGCTTGCAGTAGCCACAGTATTCTGCACCAACAGCTAAAGCCCCTCTGGGGTGCCAGCATGTAAAGCTTTCTTACTCAGAAAGGACTTTGCCCCCTCCCTCCCTCCTAGAGGCCTCAATGGGAATTTCGGGCCCACTTCACCTCAAATCAAAGCAAGCTCTGTCGGAAATCAAGACTAAGAACTAGAATGGCTCAAGAAACAGAAAGGTGAACAAGTTTCTCTTTGTCCAGCCAGCCCAGGCCCCGGTGCCTGCACTCAGCTTAAATTCTAATGACCCGAGTGACATTCTCCATGCATACCCAGTGAGGAATTAGCCTTCTCCCATTATTCTTCACCAGGAATATGATCAATGATTATCAATATCATTATTATTGGGGCTCATCGCTTGTGTTTCTTGGCTAAGGAGTGGCAGCAGAACTCCCCACTCAGTCACAAGATAAACAGCACACCACTCTACTAACCCACTATTCCCCTTCTCTGGGTGGGCTGAGAGCTGACTGGGTAGAGAGGACCAATGCAGGAAGGGAGCTTCCACCAAGTCCTTCTCCTGATTTTCAGTCAAGTGTACTTGCATAGATGTCACCTCAAATCCTGGATGAGCCCCCCAGGAAATATAATGGGGTGCTGTTCTTGTCTAGGGGATCACTGAGTACTTTCTCAGGGATAGACAAAGAAGTCAACATCTTGGAAAGGCAGGAGACCCAGCTGCCAAGGAAGCAAACCGAACAGCTTCATCCCTTCAGGCTGAGAGGGACCCGAAGTCTGGGAGTCTGCTGATGGGAATCTAGGCTGTATTTTACAGGGCCCTGGGGTACTCCCTGTGCCTGTCTGTCCTGTCTAGACAACCTGCCCACTCCTTCCTGCCATTCTCCTCCCACTGCCTTCATCTCAGGAACTGCCCTCAGCGTGAACGACACACAAAGAACTCAAGCATTTCCCAGTCTGTTCGAGCACGCTATGCCGCTCCGGCCCTCATGCTGGCATCCACATAACACACTACAGTAGCTGGTGAGGAAAGCAAAGGACAGGTACAACAATGCAGTCGTAATGCACGTAAAGACGGTCAGAACAGATATTTAAATGTGAACAAGGTTTAATATACTTATGAAAGAATATTCTAGCAAGCCTGAGATACACATAAAAAATGACAGAGGCATACCTATTAAGAAACCAGAATGTGCCGGGCGGTGGTGGTGCACGCCTTTAATCCCAGCACTCGGGAGGCAGAGCCAGGCAGATCTCTGTGAGTTCGAGGCCAGCCTGGGCTACCAAGTGAGTCCCAGGAAAGGCGCAAAGCTACACGGAGAAACCCTGTCTCGAAAAAACCAAAAAAAAAAAGAAACCAGAATGTGATGAGCATGTTCTGATCCAACGTACACTACAATCAACTGTGATTCCCTTCCCAAAATTGAGTTCACTACGACACTCAAATTCAGCAAGGTTGGAATAGGGCTAGGACAACTATATTTAACACCAGGCCAGGCAATCCTAATGGGAAAGCCAAGAAGGAAACTGTAGGTTTTTCAAACAAAAGACCTCAGTCCGAAAGCTGGCTCAGCCACTGGCTGCTATTACCCTCTGTGGTCTGCGCCATCTGTGAGATGAGAACAATACTTACCCCCTCAGTAGAACGAAACGGCTTGCACTGTTTTAACCATGAAACTGTTCTTCCTTTTGCAACAGAGTACACAGCTATGTTTCATTATTGTCCTTTGAGTCACAACCTTGACAAGGTAGGCACAGCGATCTAGACAAGTGGAATCCAGCTCTCCTGTAGATGGGAGACCCAAGGCTAGACCTGCAGAACGCTGCTGCAGCCATGCTTTAATAAGTTACTCTTCCATGTTGAGACAGAGGCTCACGATGTAGCCCAGGCTGGCCTCCAATTGCCAGGTTAAGATTAAGGTTCACATGATCTTTCTATGAAATTTTAGTCCCAACCAACTTTCCCTCTCTTCTTTAGTGATCTTCTTACATGGTAAGTACGTTTCTTTTTTTTACAAACACATGTGAGTACAGCTTAAACATGATACCACTGTTCCTTAAATAACTAAAGACACACTGCCTTAACCTTTCTCATTTGATTTAATTGACAAATAAATACAAGGGAATTTTTGTGAAACCACTGACAATATAGTTAATTTTAAAGAATTTTTCTAACTTCATTATACTTCTGGGAATGGGAGTTATACATTATTCACTCATGGGTTTAAACTTACATTTTCTCCATTTACAGAAATGTGTAAATCATTCCAATTAAATGAAGAAAATGTACAAAAAATTTTTCTTTTGCCCTCAGAATTCAAAATAAAGTCAAAACAACAGTTTTACATATGGAAGCATTTGACTCCAAATCCAGACCTCCAATCCTGTGAGACACTGAAAAGACACAGTGCCTCCTAAAGTGGGCAGACCAGCAAACAGAGGGATGCCCTTCTGGACACCGCTTCCCTGTCATATTATTCAGACAGAGTTGTTCCCTCGGGAGAGACTTCAGGTATCAAACAATGGTGGTGCATGCTGCACTATCTCCCAACAAGAAGAATCAGAAAATGACCACAACGAAGTAAAACAACCCTAAAGACGTAGTGCACCGTGGAACCTGGGGTCCAATAATAGTGTTTTGAGTTACAGGAGACTTTTTCACAACATAGCACCTCATCAAGTATCTAGTAAACACTTCGCAATCACAAGGGTTGGGAGCCACATTCCAAGGAGATTCTGTGATTAACGTTAAGGTACCACTGCAAGACAAGCCTTGGGCAACTGGATTAGGAACGAGCCCACTGCCTCACCTGCTCTAAGGGCACCACCATGGTGCTGGGACAGAAGCCTGCAGAGAGGGCGGCCGGACCATGACTCCTGCTTACAAACTGCTCTTACACGTGCCTGCAGGACTGGGGCTACTTCTGAGCTGTCCAGGAATGCATCACTGCGCCCCAAATATGCTCTGCTCCTGCCTCAGAAGAGTCGGCCCAGAAAACACTACACAGGTCAAACTGTATCCTACAGAGTTTTGATGTAAAAGCCAATGTATGGAAACCCAGGGAGTTTTGTTTTTCATGTACATTTATCAAAACTATCATGCACTTTAGTGAGTTCACAAGCTGTACTCATGGCCCGAAGAATCACTCTTTTTGTGCCGAGGTGACGGAGTGGTCTTTGTTGGAGATGGGGATGCCGTACCAGGAGAGTCGGTCCCTCCATCGGAGGTACTTGGTGAGGACGCCAGATGGGGAACCTTCTTTCTACCAAGGAATCCTCCTGCTTCAAATCCTTTCTTCCGTAACTCCACTTTATGCTCGTTGTCGTCCTCTGATGACCTTTTCTTGGACTCTGACAACCCTTCGGCTGCTCTCTGCACTTCGAAGCTGCCATCTAGCTCCCTCACACACCTCAGCTCTGTCCCAGGGGACTTCCTCTCAGACACACTGCATTCCCCTGCTGCCCCTTTCGCTTCCGCCTGTGGTGGACCCACGGGACCATTTTCTGGGACAGACTTCTCTGAGTTTCTGTTGAGATTGAGAGTCTGGAAGTCCCTGTAGCTGTGGAAACTCTCGGTCCTCCTCGCTCTGGCTAACAAAGGGCTCTCCCGGTAAGGCCGTGTTGCCCCGTAAGTGGCTGCTTCATGGATGGTTTCATGGTGCTGGAGCTGAAGGCTGAAAAACAGATTTTAAAAATGTCAGTTATGATTTTACTTCAAGGTCTCAGGAGCCTATCTCAGCAGTCAAACTGCCAACTAAAACATCATAAAAACATATAAGGCATATTACTATCCACACCTCTCTATAAGAATGTATTTGTCTAGTAGACCGTATTACATACAATTACCAACATAATACCATACATGCATTCACAATCAAGCAACATTTTTGAATAGCAGGGAAGAAGGAAAATAGGCTCTAAAATTGCTCCAATAAGCAATCAATGTAACTCAATATTTGGCTCTTGGATTCCCAGAATTTGAAATGTTTTTGTCAATATGGTGGAAAAGGCAAAGTATTTCATTATACTAAGTACACAATACCTTACTACGAAATTAGACAAGATAACTTAACCACTTTTGATTAGCACTGACCCTGAGCAATGAGAACAAAAACTCCACAACGTATCCAACTGATTCGTGATTTTCCTAATTCAGGAGAAGGGTGACAGTGGTTTTTGGTTGTCATCTTGACTAGATCTGAAATGAACTACAATCCAGAAATGGAGGGCACACTTGGGATCCAGATCTAGGGGCTGGAAGACACAGGCTTTTGATCTGGATCTTGAGGCGGGAAGACACAGGCCTTTAAACCCAGATCTTGAGTTGGAAAGGCACACCTTTCATCTGGACCACACCTTCTGCTGGAAGCCTATAGAAGGAGAATGGAAGAAGGAAGGGTTCATTCTCCGCCTGCTTGCCCTGGCCTTGTCAGCACATCCATTCCTTCACTGGCATTGGAGCCTGTTTCTCTGGGATTCCAGCAAGTACAGAAGCCCAGCTCAGACACCCAGGCTTGTGGGACTGAGCAACTACTAAATTCCTGGACTTTCCATTCATAGCTAGTCATTGTTGGACTGCAGCCTGTATGTCATTCCAATAAATTCCCTTATATTCCGAGAGAGAGAGAGAGAGAGAGAGAGAGAGAGAGAGAGAGAGAGAGATTCCTTCTATAAGTTCTGTGACTCTAGAGAACCCTAATACAGTGAATTACTGATCACATAATTGGCCAGTCATTTCCCGAAGTGGTTGGAATGATAAATGTCCCCCATAATCTCAGGCATCTGATCACTTGGTCCCCAGTTGGTGATGCTGTTTGTGAAGGCTTACTTAGGAAGTGTGGTCTTGCTGGGGGATGTATGTCACTGGGGCCAGGCTTTGGGAATGTAAAGCCTTGCACCACTTTTAGTTCATTCTCTCTGCCTTGTGCTTGTGGTTCAGGATGTGAGCCTTCAGCCTCTGCTCCATGCCTGCTGCCTGCTATGGTGATATTTTATTTGTATTAAAATGTTATTTGTATGTTAATAAATAAAGTTGCCCGGGGGTCAGAGCTATTAGCAAGCCATAGGAAAGCAGGGCAGTGGTAGCGTACGCTTGTAATTCCAGCACTTAGTAGGCAGAGCTGGGTAAGTCTCTGTGTGTTCAGGGATACAGCCATTATTGGATACACATGCCTTTAATCTTAATACCAATCATGGAAAACCTGGAGGCCTATACAGACAGGCTGTGAGGAGGCGGTCATGTGGTTGGGTTTACAACCAATGAGAAGGCAGGACAGGAACTCTATATAAAGACTTTAACACAGGGGTAGCTCTGGTTCGGAGAGGTAGGACCACTGCAGGAGGAAGGGTAAGGTTTTGGCTCTTAGCTCTGACCTCTTGGCTTTCTTCTTTGCATTGGTTCTGTGTTTATTGTTTGATGGGAAGGTTGGATACATCTACATTTGGCGCCCAACGTGACAAGAATTCATTAAAAACCGATTGGCTTGGCTTGGCGGCAGGTCCGGTTTCCAGCCTGGGCAGCCCGGCTGCCTAGCTTGGGCCCAGGCCTGACTGACCCGCAGCTGGAACTGCTACAAACAACTCAGACCTGCCCCGCTGAACAGGGCCCCTGCCTGTAAAGCCAAGGCTTGACTCGGCTCAAGCGGCTACACTTTCTCTCTCTCTCTCTCTCTCTCTCTCTCTCTCTCTCTCTCTCTCTCTCTAGCTGGATTCACACCTCGAACACCAGGTGGCTGTGAAATTCCCTGGGATTCTACTGTTCTACCCAGACTTGGTAAGTCAATTAACATATCTATTTAAAAGAGAATTTTTTTCTACATTAAAAAAAAAAAAATGGGCTTTATGTGTACATTGGAAGAAAATTGGGCTTTGTTTGAAATTTTAGGCACTCTGACAATGGAACAACTATATGAAAAGATTAATATTGATCGAATTATTCAGTTTATTACTTTTCTTATCCTCATTTTACTATTTAAAAAGATCGTCAACTTAAGTGCCAGGATAACAGTCTTAGAAAAACTTGTTAAACCGGTAAAAATGAATTATAGAGAAATTCAAATTCAGACAGAAGAAATAAATAGTGAAGTTGTTTCAAAATTGGATCGTAAGGTTACAGAAAGAAAGCCAGTTTTCACACAATCACCCTTAATTTATCCAGTAGCCGTACAGCAGCTACCTGATGAAGAGAATGAACAAAATACTTGGGTTCCAGTTGAAATGTTAGACTTACGAAGATTTAAGGAGGCAATAGCATCTTATGGCATGCACTCCCCATATGTAAAGCAAATGTTAAACACCTGGTCAACTTGTAATAGGATTATACCAAAGGACTGGCGGGAATTGGCACAGGCTGTTCTTGAACCCGGACAAAATCTCCAGTGGAAAATGTGGTTCAGTAATGAGGCTAAACATATAGAAAGACAATGGAGGGATAGCGGAATACAAGTCTGCCAGGATCAGCTTATTGGCGAAGGCCAATATGCTTCAGTACAAACACAATGTTCATATGATGTCCAAACCCTACTTCTATGTAAAACGGCAGCTTTGAATGCATGGGACAGAGTTGAAGAACCAGGAAAAAAAACTGAGTCATTTACAAAGGTTATACAGGGCCCCAAAGAATCTTTCACAGATTTCTTACAAAGATTGACTTCAGCAGTACAAAAAATGGTCCCGAATTCAGAGGCTAGTCAGATAATAATTGAATCTTTAGCCTTTGAGAATGCAAATGCAGCGTGCAAAAGAATAATTAGGCCGTTAAAGGCAAGATCTGCACCTTTGGAAGATTGGATTAGAGATACAGTTAATGTAGAGGCTTATGACCATGATGATATGTGGGTAGGAAAAGCAATTTCAAAAGGTTTGAGCAATGTTAGATGTTTTGGATGTGGAAAGCAAGGACATTTGAAAAGGGATTGTAAACAGGTCATTCCTAGAAATAATGTTTCTTCAAGGAACACTGGCAA